ATGATCTAAATAAAAATATCTCCCTCGAAAAAAAAAATCTACTTATTGTCTCTCCTCGTCTTTGTGATACGTTTTAAACAAATCCAATTGCATCAGCAAAACCAAAATAAATCTTCCAATTTGAGTCAGACGCCAGGCAAGAGTAAATTTTGTTGCGAATAGAGCTGGGGCGAATTTTCTTCACGTTACTGACACAGAAGCTTTTCGATCCTAGATCTGATTACTTTTAACTTTATTACAATATATGTAACCTTTACATAAAAAATCTAGATTTTTAATCAGGATGCAGATTGTTGTATTGTTCTGGACAACTTTCATGAACAGGCCCGAACTGTCACTATATTTTCAATTCGAATAAAATGGTAAAACCAAAAAGTTAAACATCTATAAACACAAACAAACGAAAACGTAATGGATTCAGTGGGTGAGTTAGATAGAAGTGCTTCTCTGGATTTCTGTTTAATAAGTCTATAAATTGATTTCGTGCACATGGGCTTTTTTGTTTCAGAACTTAAGTAGACGGTAGTCATGGCGGCTGGTTGTAAGTTTTCCCTCTCTCCTGTCTTTACCGTTTTTTTAGTCTGTCTCTTAGCCTGCAATAGTTTTACTTTCTTCAAAATACGACTATCTCATCCCAAGACTTGTCTGCATCCTGTTGGAGGCGTCATAGGCTTGGAGACGACTCGAAACTTCTTTGTTGCACTGACATCGCGAGTCCGCCATCTTGGAACACGTGCGAAGGGATATTTTGGTACAGACCTAACTCGATATCCCAATTCTGTTTCTACATTTAATATCTCAAGATTGGTACAATGTGGAGACATCGAAATAAACCCTGGACCAGGACAGTCATTATCTCCGGGATTATCCACAACTCGCAAAAAACCTCTTTGGAAGTGCCCTTGTGATGTATGTACGAAGCCGGTTCGCTCCAATCAGAAAGGGATTCTCTGCGATGGTTGTAACAAATGGTTCCACCTAAAGTGCATTACCATGGATCTACAGGCTTATATTGACTTGGGGTCTTCTGATGAGCAGTGGTTCTGTGACAAAAATTGTGGGTGGCCTTTTAACTTCACTGATTCATTCTTTGAATCGTCCTTCTCAACTGGGCAGAATGTAAGCTTAAGCTCTGATGTCTCTGCGGAATCTTCTCCTCGCTCTGCTAATGGCTTCTCTAAGTGCTTACTATTAAATACGAGGAGTATTCGAAACAAGATCAACGACCTAAATGCTCTGTTATTAATGGACTCCTTTGACATTGTTGCCTTGACGGAGACTTGGTTAGACAATGAATTTGATGACCGTGATCTACATCTTGAGGGTTATAGTATCCATCGTCGGGATAGACGTGGTAAGCGTGGTGGAGGAGTGTTGCTCGCAACTAAATCACACCTGCCATGTGTACGGAGACACGATCTTGAGGTAAATGCGGAGATGCTAGCCTGTGAATTAAAGACCAGTAATACACGATGTCTATTATTTGCAGTTTTTTACAGACCACCAGACGTCGAAGAGACGTTCTTGGATGAATTCAGGAGATTTCTCAATAAAGCTTCTGGTACAGGAATCGCAGATTTAATTATCACTGGCGATTTTAATTTTCCCTGTGTCGATTGGTCTACTGGATCACCAACTAGTTTAGACAATTTGACTGAAACTTTTTGTGAAATCCTGGATGACCATTTTCTCACCCAAACAAACCCTTATATCACCCGTCCCAGTGCCACTAATACCTTATCATCTGGTAACATCTTAGACCTTGTGTTGACGAATCATGAATCACTCATCGAAGGAACTACTGTGCACCCAAATGGATTTGATTCAGACCATTTCCCAGTCTGTTTCGCGATCAAGAAAAAGTTCAACAGGCCCAAAAACAGTCAAAGATTAGTTTACCGATATGATAAAGCTGACATTGATGGTCTAAGAAATACATTCTCTCACATTTTATGGGATTCCTATATATCTTGTGAGGACATTGACTCAGGTACGGCGAATTTCCAAGATCTTGTTCTCGCGGCAGTCAATCAACATGTACCAAAGATGAAGCTTAGACGCAAGCCAAGACCTCCATGGATAGATAAAGAGGTCTTAAAGTTAGTGAGGAAAAAGAAAGTCTTGTGGAAGCGTTTAAGGGCCAATGCTTCTCTTGAGGTGACAACAAAGTTTAAATTTCTTAGGAAACAGACCAAACGTCTTATCTCCTTTAAGTATTTCCAGTACTTAAAGTCTCTATCGGATAAGCTGAAGACTAATCCAAGGAAGTTTTGGTCTTTTCATTCTCTTAAATCCAAGAGCAAGAGACTGCCAGAAGTAATAACTTACTCTGGCAAAGCCAGGTCTGCTAAAGATCCTGTGGAAAAAGCTTCCCTGTTCAATGAATTCTTCAGCTCCGTGTTCTCTACAAAAACATCAAACTCTGACAGCTCTCATGTTGATGTGATCAACCCTAACTTATTGATGGATGTATTCACTTCGTACAGTGAAGTAAAGAATATCCTCTGCAACTTAGACATTAATAAAGCAACTGGAGTAGACGGCATTCCTGCGAGGATATTGAGGGACTGTGCAGAGGAGCTATCTTACCCATTGGTTCTACTGTTTAACTTGTCGTTCAGGTGTGGGAGAGTTCCTTCTTCATGGAAAAGAGCTAATGTCACTCCTGTGTTTAAATCAGATGCTAAAGATGTGGTAGAGAATTATCGATCTATATCCCTGTTATCGATTCCAAGTAAATGCCAAGAGAAGATTGTATATAATGCCATATATCCTCATGTGGCCCCTTACCTGACAGATTGGCAACATGGTTTCATAAGGGGTCGCTCGTGTGCTACCCAGTTGGTATTAACACACCATCAGTGGACAAAGGCCTTGGATGATGGACTACAGGTGGATGTTGTGTTCTTAGATTTTTCTAAGGCATTTGACAGAGTATCACACGATATACTCCTTCTGAAGTTGTGTAATTTCGGCATCTCTGGTAGCCTACTAAGATGGTGCGAGGATTATTTGACCCACAGAGAGCAAAGGGTTGTTATTGAGGGACAGAGTTCTGCCTGGTCTGTCATCCCATCCGGTGTACCACAGGGCTCCCTACTAGGGCCATTATTTTTTGTAATATTCATTAGTGATTTGCCTAATGTGGTTATGCCTGGAAACACAATCGCACTGTACGCAGATGATTGTAAAACATCAAGACTGATAAACTGTACATCAGACCAACATGATTTTCAATCTGACCTGAATAATCTACACATCTGGAGTCAGCGAAATCTAATGGATTTTAATGTAAAGAAATGCAAACTGATGCGTATCACGAAAAAAAGTATGCCTTTTCGTTCTGACCTTAAGCTGAATGAGAGCTCTCTGGAAGAAACATCTGAATTCTGTGATCTTGGATTAGTTACTAGTAACAAGTTGTCCTGGAATGCTCATGTTGATAAGATATCAAGCAAGGCTAACAAGATTCTTGGCCTTATTAAAAGGACATGCAAGGGTATGAAAGATGTTAACACGTTAAGAAGGTTGTACTGTGCTTTGGTAAGGTCCCAATTGGAATACTGTACTATTGTCTGGTCACCCTTCACGGCTAGAAACATTAACAGATTGGAAAGGATTCAGCGAAGAGCCACCAAGTTTATTCTAAAAACTGATGATGATTACAACACTCGTAAAAAACAACTGAACCTGTTATCTCTAGAGGACAGACGCTTCTTTTTTGATGTACTATTTTTTTATAGAGTTCTTAATGGGTATATTAATATAGATATATCCTCTTATATCCAATTTTATTCGCATTCGGAAAGATACTCGTTGAGGGGTAAGGACGAACTTAAATTAAAAAAGAACTACGCGAGGACTAATACTTTTAAGTTTTGCTATTTTAATAGGATTGTCCACATGTGGAATGGGCTGCCACTATCGGTCCGTCAGGCTCCAAGTGTTTCTTGTTTTAAAAGGGGTGTAAGGGATTACTTGACTGCAAGATCTGATTGATTTTAGTTTGGATTTGTTTTTTTTTTTGTTAAAGGTGGTCTGCCGTGCATGGGGATTTATCTCTTTTGCGGACCATCCTTATGGCACCTTTCCTTTTACTCTTTTGTATTATTATCTATTAATGTAAGTATGTAAGTAAGTAGTAAGTTATATGTGCCATTAAATTGTAATAAAAAATAAATAAAAAAAAATAAAAAGATCGACCTTTGCTTTCGCAGTTGCATGATTTGGAGGTTACAATGCACCACTGAAAGTTACTCATTCAGCCCCTATTTTTAACGATCAAATATTGCCATGCTCCTCTAAATAAAAAGTGGAAAAATTCGTATTGTCGGTGCCTCTTGTGATTAAAAATTTCATTGAAATTAAATTACATATTTTCTATCGGTCTTGAAATCTTTTCCTGTTTAAGGTTTACGCACGTCGTCTCGTAATTCATTTAAATAAAATGGGTCGCACTGCCAGTAAGGAAAATCACGGTTCTTTGAAGTATTAATATCATGTAGATGGATGAATTCTTCATCATTTAGAAGGTTTTACTTAAAGCCGAAAAGAAGGTGGTCTCACATTCTGCAAGTTCGGCATATTCGACTGAACTTTTGAAAGCTCTGGTGGCAGCTTTGTAGAGAAAACATTTTTATAATTTCCCACCAAATGAGGCCTTTCCAACTCGCGCGACCCTGCTTGCTTAAGCATAAAGAATGGTGTTCAATGGCAACCACTAAGATGAGGACGTGGACTGCCACAGAAAAATATCATAGCCGTCAAAAGGGAGGGGAAGGTCCAGAATGATACTTAAGGCGATCCTTAGGACAATTCTAGTGGCGATCCCGGTGGCAATTCTAAGAGCTATCTTAAAGGACGATCCTGGGGGCGCTCCTGAGAGCGCTCTTAAGGGCGCTTCTAAGGATGCTCCTGAGGGTGATCTAGAGGGCGATCCTGGGAGCCATGCTGAGGACGATCTCGAAGGCCATTCTAAGGACGATCCTTGCGAATGGCGTTCATTGGTTACCATCACGACGAGAACGTGGATTGCCACAGAGGAATATCATGGCGATACTACGGGCAATTCTGGTGATCCTGGTGGGGGGTCTAAGGGCCCTCTCTAAGGACCATTCTTGGGGCCATCCAAAGGGCGTTCCTGAGAGCGATCCTGAGAGTGATCCTGAGAGTGATCCTATGGGCGATCCTGAGGGCGATCCTGAGGGCGATCCTGAGGGCGATCCTGAGGGCGATCCTGAGGGCGATCCTGATGGCGATCCTGAGGGCGATCCTGAGGGCGATCCTGAGAGCGATCCTGAGGGCGATCCTGAGGGCGATCCTGAGGGCGATCCTGAGGGCGATCCTGAGGGCGATCCTGAGGGAACTCTGCAATTGAGTGAGTGCATCTTTGGTATATTATGCTTTGGCTCTAGTTTACCGAGACACCTGTCGTAGTCGGTATCTAGCAACGCTGACAGTCCACGACGGTTTTCTAAAGTTTGCGTTAACCCCTCTAGAGTACGAGCAACTTCCAACACAATTTCTGTATTACCGCTGTTCATCAATGTCGCTAATTTCTTAGCCGATAAGTCATCCGGTGTAGCTCTGACTTGTTCCTCAATATGTCGCTTCAATGCCAACCAGTTACGAATAATGGAGAAGAGAGAGTTATTTGTTGCTGATTCACCAGCTGATTGAGCGGCCTTCTTTAGCAACTGAAATGTTCTGTACATTGCTTTTTCAACTTCTTGTGGTGTCATTGTACCACGAATAACATACTGCACTAGGCGATGCACTCTCATGCATCCAACAGACTTCCTCTGAAAAAGTGAAAACTTGGTTAAGACTTCTACTATATGGTTATTCGTGAGGGGGAGTTCTGTTTTGTTTTCAGCAACAATGTCAGAGAAAAGAATCTCTGTATTAATAAGTCGTTCCTGTATTTCATCTGGATCAAGGAAAGCTGCCGCCTGTACGAATCTGGTTGCAATTTCTCCATATCTTGAGCTCCTCACGTGGTCAAAGTTCAGTAACCATGTAGTGTGGACTGAAAGACGATTCGTTGAGTCATACTCGCTCGAGGAATTTGCCTCATGCTCGCGTACCAGCTTTAACCTTTCGAGTCTGAATTGCTCCAGATATTTTTTTACAGGGCACTCAAGAGATCTAATATGTGCACCAGCCTGCTCCAAGGCAAGAGGAAGACAACCAAGCAGATCAACCAGCTCATTTAGCGTATCCTCCTGGTCTGAAGCATTTTCACCGCTGCAACGACTCAAAAGAAACTCTTTTGCTTCTTCGATAGAGAAAGGGGTGATTTCTACACAACAATTTGGCTCAAGATCCACACACTGACAAATTTCTTTCTTTTCACGCCTTGTTGTTATCAATATGTGACCATTTGTCTCCCTTTTCCATTTTCCTTTCAAAACGATACGCATTTTTACAGAAAGCAGTGGCTGGTCGACGTTGTCAAGAACCATTAGCCACCGCTTTTCTTGCTGCGATATAAATGTTAGAATGTGTTTCAATGTTAAATCTGATGAGTTTTTCATCAGTCCTAAACGTATCGCGAGGTCATTCACACAACTTTCAAACTTCTCTTCATCTTCCATGGAGAACCAAAATACGCTTCCCTCGTATTGTGGTTTATGCTTCCAAGCGAATTGAGCTGCTAAGGTCGTTTTTCCACATCCACCAAGACCACAAATAGCCGCCATTCTAAATTCGTGATGGCTGTTTTCAAAAGGGAGGCACCTTTCAAGCGATTCTAACTCTTTTTGTCTTCCTGTAAACCACTTGATTTGATCTGGCGCGTCAAATACTACAGATCTATAATGGGCCGTGGAAACATTGACTTTCCTAGAAAGCAGTGTTTCCCAAATGTTCTGCATTGCCGGCGTTTTGACTTCCAAAGTTTTGCTAGAAGTTTTTTCCAAGTCTTGTCTTGTTGGTTGTTGTTCGTGTTTGCATTTGTTTAATTCATGTAATATTGCCTCGAACATTTCACGTATTTGATTCATGTTGTCGTTTGTTTCTTCCAGCCGACCGGTCAGTGTTCCAGAGAGCGCTACAACTTCATCGCGTATGACACTAAGGAATGTGTCATTAAGTGGCCTACCAACGCAGAATTCTATCCCTAAGCAAAATTAGGACAAATGAGCAATAAGTAAACCAATAATAGACTGTTAATTTTCAACGTGAGCTAAAGATTAACGCCACTTACCACTAAACGAAGCCAGTAAAATGGAAATTGAATAATTCTCTGAGAAGAAGGTTGACCCAAATTGCGGCACCAATGAGTAGATTGTAGGAATCGAGTGATTAAGCCACACAGCCCTGATTTACCGTGCTTGTAAGCAAAGGTTGACCCCACACAGTAAACCATATGGGATGTGAAGTCACGTGGCGTCTCCAACGTTCGCCATAATGAATGAGTTGCCAGTAATCGGATCCCTCTGCTTATTGCAAAGGGTTCTGGGATCGACACGGGGCAAACAACGCAAATTACCTCTAAGAAATGTCTGGCGAAAAATTGATTTGGCTTCCAAAAAAAAACGATTTTTTGGAGAATTCAGTGCTGTTTTGCAGCCGTTTCATCAGAAAAAGGATTTAAGCAATGTTGTTACTTGGGAAATGTAAGTTTTTATTTAGATAACAAAGAAATATGTGCTAAAATCTACCGATAAAGTTCTCTCATTGCGTAAGGTTTATTGTGAAATCGACATCTCGTAATAGTCTTGAAATGTCTCGAAATTAAGTAATAATCGTGAGTATATAACCCATTCTAGCTTTTTTAGTTGTAAATAAGTGTGTGCATTCTAATTCTGGCTCATTTCTAAGCTCGTTAACACAAATATTGGAAATATGCGTCACGGCGATCTCCGCGCTGAGTGGGTTGTAACAACGATCGAAAATACCCAGAAAAGCAATATGTTCTTCCTCAGTTGGAATTAAGATTGTACTCCCCCAATAATAGAAAAGATCAAGTCGTGTGGCATCACTAAGTACTCATGTTGAAAGAAACATTTTGAAATTGAAGCAATTTCGAGTTCTTTCAGGAGTTATTCCTCTTTTGTTAAAACCAATGTTGGATAGAATTATTTTTCTTAATGCTGTTTTAACTATGTCGAAGAAGCATTGAGTAAGGAGCACACTACAGAAGCAAAAAATTTTGTTTACCGAATTTGTTGATCTTCTTGACTTGGGGTTACCTTTCTTGTGTGAGAATTGTCATTAGGTAATTATATATAATGCTTCCATTAGGAAAGAAGGAACTATTTGCTGACAGTGAAACTTGTAAACTGTTGCTACAACAGTTTCCCAAAACTTATCATTAAAATTAATTGTAACGACAAAAATCCCTTTACTTGTATAGGTAACAGAATTGTTAGTTTTTAAACCTGAAATTGCCATGCCAGTCTGAACTTGGAATTAATGTAGAAGACTTCTGTTAAGAAAAAATTTCCCATTTTCATCTTTTTTCCCACTAACAGTTGGTAGCAGGAAAGAGATTTTAAGGTCAAGGTCCTTCCCTTTAATTGGACATTTTATCCCTACTACTGAAGGGTCATAACAGTGAAAATTCTAATACCATCTAGACTTGCTCTTATCCAAAAATAACAGCAACTAATAAGGAGACCTGGCTTCTGAAGATCAAATGAATGATGCTGTTTTTCACTGAATTTTGATTAGTAACATTTTGCATTTTCTTCTCCCATCATACCATGTTCTATGGCTTCAGGATATTCTTGGTTTTCTTTAAATTCTTTTATTCACTGAAATTTTTAATAGTGAGCGATACATCAGTATGAGGATCTTTTTCCAAAGTTTTTTGTCGGGTGTTAAGAGATTTTATTTTTCCCCGTATCTAAAAGGTGTCTCATCTCATGCAGGTTTTGTTTTTATGTTGTGCCATGGTTGCTTTGTCTATAATCATTCTATCAATGTCCGAAAAGGTGAAGGCGATTAGGAATTCTTCAGCAAAATTTGAAAGGTTGTCCTCTGATAGCTTATTAAAATTTGTCTCAACATAATTCTTAGCTTGAGATAATATGGTGAAGAAAAATGTTCATTCTCATCATTGTTTGAGGAAAATGGTAAAAAATCAAGAATACCAGAACAAGGATCAATTTTTCTAAGTTTCTTTGCAAAATCAGTTTTTTCGATATGAGTTATTTCCTTTCTACCTTACATGGGTCTAGGATGAAAGGAATCGATCCAGGAATCATCATACAGTGTTATTTTTCTTTTCTTTTTCATCAAAGAGCTTTAATAATAATAATAATAACTTTATTTATATAGCGTCTTAATCAATAATTGCTCTAGGCGCTTAACAATATCACAAAATGTATTAAAAAACATTAAAAAATGTATTAAAAAACATTAAAAAATCTAACAACTACATATATAAGCATGGAAATTAAATAGAAATATATTTACAAATCAAAAAAGGCTTGGCGAATTAAATATGTCTTTAAGTGTTTTTTGAAAGAATTCAAGGAATCGGCATTTCTTAAAGATGCGGGTATGCTGTTCCATAATTTAGGTCCTGCAATAGAAAATCTTCGATCACCATAAGACTTGAGCTTAGATCTCGGGACTTGAAGTAACTTATTCGAACAAGAATGCAAAGAGTAGGAGCTGGTACGAAAGCTGAGCAAATTGGATATATAACTTGGTGAAAGTCCATTAATAGCCTTATATACTAACAATAAGACTTTATAAGTAATACGGTATTCAACCAACCAATGTAAATCTATTAAAATGGGAGTTATATGTTCATACTTCTTTGTGAATGTTACAATGCGCGCTGCCCTATTCTGAACTAGCTGTAGGCGGTTTAAGAGAGCTTTAGGTAATCCATGTAGAATCGCATTACAATAGTCCAAGTTAGTGGTCACAAAAGCATGAATAATTGCTTCAGCAGATTCATGATCCAAATATGTTCTGATCTTACTAATACTAGTTAGATGGAAATGACATGTTTTTCATATCTTTTTAATGTGGTCTTCCATATCAGCACTGGGATCGAGTATCACTCCAAGATTGCGAACAGAAGAGGACGGTTGAATAGTTTCACCCCCAACACGAACGAATTCCAATGAGGGACTGGGCCGATAACGTGAACTGAGTAGAAGCAGCTCGGTTTTTTCCTCATTTAGCTTAAGACCATTAAGAATCATCCAATTGCTGATTTCCTGTACAAATATTTCAATTCTAGATTTTACTGAGGAGATAAGATCATCACTTCCTAATTTAAATGACACGTAAAGCTGAGTGTCATCGGCAAAGAGATGGTACATGAGATTGTGTCTCTTTATGATATCAGCCACTAGTGAAGTGTACAGAACATATAACAGAGGCCCAAGGACAGACTCCTGCGGTACACCACAATTAAGTTCACGTAACGAAGATCTTGAGCATTCAATTTAAACAAATTGTGTACGAGATGATAGGTAGGATGCAAACCATTTCAGTACAGACCCTGTTATACCATAACATTGAGACAGCCTATCCAGTAGTATTTCATGAGACACATTGTCAAATGCAGCAGATAAATCTAACAGAAGTAGTACAACGGCTTCGTTTCTGTCAATTGCATGCAGAATATCATCTTGCACCTTCACCATGACAGCTTCAGTAGAATGAACTTTATAGGCTGACTGAAAGTTTTCAAGTAGGTTATTGTTCATCAGATAGTTGGTTAACTGGAGAGCAACACTTTTCTCAATAATCTTTGATAGCGCTTTCAAATTGGAGATAGGTCTAAAGTTCTTGAATTGTGAAAAGTCTGCATCAGGTTTCTTGAGCAGGGGTGACAATACTGCAGATTTCAAACACGTAGGCATGCAGCCATCACGAAGAGAGAGGTTGATGATGTTAGCAATAGTAGGCAGCAATAGATCTATACATTGTTTGATAATAGAGGATGGTAATGGATCCAAGACACAGGACTTCGAGAACAGTGTTGCAGTTAGTTCCCTGATGTCATCAAGCTTCATCTCAGTAAAAGTTGAAAATTTAGTCGAAGACATTGTAAGTACCTCATCAGTGACACAATCAGCAGAGTAAATAAGAGCTTTCTTTTTAACGAGGAGATCATTATGTAGTGTATCAATCTTAGTAGTGAAAAAGGTAGCAAATACATCATTAAGCATACGGTCGTTTTTGGAGGGTGGATAGTAGTTAACAGTTGGCTTTTGAAGTCGCTTTTGAACAGATTTGAACAAAACTTTTTGATTACCAGAGTTTTCTTTAATAATAGACGAATAGTACTCCGACTTAAGAGACTTAATCAGATTGATCACAACGTTACATTGGTGTACATAACGTACGCGGTCAGCAGGGAGTCTTGATGCTCGCCATTTACGTTTAAGTTGTCTTAGTTTCCGCTTCTCAGCAGTGACTTCAACTGTGTACCAGGGCGCAGATGGACGGACAGTGACAACCCGTTCTTTCACAGGAGCATGCTTTTCCAGTAGTGATCGTAAGACTTCATCATAATTATTCACAGCTTTAGGAAACTTTCATTTCAGATGTAGGGAAAGGTTTGTGTGTAGGTGTTGGCTAGGGGTTCCAGTATGCAGACATAGAGGTGACAGACTTTCTTTGATTTGAAAGAAAATCATCAAGTTCAAACAAAGTTTCACCTTTATGTCTGCATCTTTGATCAGCTCCACCCTGGCACCTACAGAATGCAGAATACACAGACCCAGCCAAGTCCACAACAAACCAGAGCTTGTAAAGTATATCGCCTTCTCAAATTTTTTCTTTCTGAGTTGGTATAACTCCGGCTACAAACAGAGAAAAAAAATACTGTCATCAAGGCCCTTTGTACTATTTACTCCAAGGCTCTGAACATGGCCATTCGTACATAGATCCTACTCTTCAAATGAGCGCTAGGAGGATAACATGTTTTTCTCGTAATCCATTTACCTAATAAATAGATGATTAAAAATGTCCATTATTCCAACTAGAGGGAGCTGGGAGAAGTCACTGGACAATGATGCCATTTGGAAGGGGGCCAACTTTTTGTCCAGGTGGAAGCACGAGGCTTCATAACAAACGTTCACAAATGGACTCACTTTCAAAGTCAGGGTCAGTAGGAAGGTCCACAAAAGCAACTGTATTCGCTACCTAAATATGTTCGGTTTGTGGTAAGTGGAGACTTGAACACTCTGGGCAGAAATAAATGCTTTAATTTGTTTCACATCCATTTGGTCAAAGTTGGGATTAGTAGATGTAGCAATGGCTAGTTTTGAAGGTGGTTGCTTGGTAGTGGTACATGCAGTTTTGTCTGTAGATGTTTGGGAACTGGTCATGGTAGAATAAGATGGTTGTTGGACAGCAGAAGGTTTAGTACATGTAGCTGGATGTAGCTGTTTCACAGATGGGGTTTATTTGGTACTGGTAGCTTCTGGAGATTGAGTTGGCTTTTCACAGTTGGTTTAAAGTACGAAGACAATGTTTTTGTATTTAAAGAAGCTAGATCTTGACCAGGTTGTTTGGATTCAGTAGCTTCAATCAAAGGTGGTTTGAAGGAAGGATGAGTTTGTGTTGTTTGTTTCACAGCTTTGGCATATGAATTACCACTGTATTCTAAATCTATTGAAACAGAGGATGCCGTATTCTCAGGCAGAGGAGCACTAAAACAGCTACCTCTAGGCAGAAGGAGATTAAAATGATTTTCTTACATTACATTTAAGTGATTGGACACCTGCACTTCTCTTAGTGATCGATGAAAACGAATCAGTGTTCATAATCGACTCAAACGTGTACCATTTTTTCTGCAACGGTGGGAAGGTGCAAACGGGTCGCTTGAGGAGCGATGCTCAGCTGTAAACGTCCACAGTTTCAGCCCAAGTTCCCGTTATCTTGCTGTTCTTGACATGATCCTCCACGGAATTCGAAGAGAAAAGTAGCGCAACTACTCAGTAGTGCGCGGATTTCCTCATGTTTCTCATCACTTATCTCATCATTCCAGAGAGCAATAGCTCGGTAAAAACAATTTCCATCTCCTCTGACAACGACTTCTCTCCTTCTAGGAGGTAAATTTCCGGAAGCCATAATTTGTGAATAAAAGACGTTATCTAGTGTTAAAAGTGTCTGTGCACACGTTAATTTATCTGAAAATACTTTGAAGGGTAATTTCCTTTAACTTATACGTAACTTTGTAATGTTTCGAGATTTACGAGATGTCGATTTCACAATAAACCTTAGGCAAGGAGAGAACTTTATTGGTAGTTTAAGACATGTTTCATGATTATTTAAACAAAATCTTACACTGCCCACGTATCAACATTGCTTGAATCCTTTTCTGATAAAACGGCTGCAAAACAGCGCTGAATTCTCTAAAAAATCGTTTTTTGGACGCCTTAACAACTTTTCGCCATATATTCCTTCGTAGCAATTTGCATTGTTTACCCCGTGGCGATCCCACAACCCTTTGCGCATAGCAGAGGGATCCGATTACTGGCAACTCCTTCATTTACAACGGACATATTTCCTTCGCCAGTGACAAAATAATCAAGCGACCCTCCTTCACCCAGCGTGTAAATTGTCTCTCAAAAGTTTGGTTTCGGACAGCCTTTTAACGGCACATATGTGCACTGGTGAGAGAGAAGGTCGGGTGATAGTTTTGTCGCCAGCCCGGAAATGTGAGCTCGATTGATTGATTGATTATTTTCGATATCAGAACTGTTAATCGACCTCTTCTTTCCACATCTTGTATCGATAGCAAAACTGTTAACGAAGCGGGAAAATAGAGGAGGCTTTTGAGGTGTTTAGAGAAGTGTAAATGTGATGATTTGTGGCATGGATATTGGACACCAATCGAGCTTAAACATGCTTGAAAATAGGTGGGGAGCGATATTTGAAAGCGAAAGAGGTTTGGCTTGGTTCTTGAGATTGGAAGCTGCACAGCTCGATGATTTTGGTTTTCAGTTGAATGAGGGGGGATAGGAGGTGGTGAGAATTATCCTTCTTTAAAAATTACCAGATTACTTGCGAAAACACAGGAAACTGAAAGTAAAAGATCAAAAGCTACAAAATGTAAGCTTTATGAGGAATTATCCTCGATCACTGGAATCGAAGTGAGATCGGATGTTGCCAATTTCGGGGAAAGTTAGGGATAAATAATCTTTTCACGTCGCGCGGCCTCAAACTCATGCGGTTACCTGCCTAAGTTTTGCCAGACTCGCGCGCAGCTGTCGAAGGTGTGACATATCAGCTTAAGTCTATGCTTTCTATGTGAAGTAATAAAAACTGAGAGAATAAATTAATTCTCATTTAGTTTCATTGTTCTGTTTTTCACATTAGGTAGTCGTACGTGGTTCACACTATGTGCAGATTTGTCGATTTTTTCGGAAATTAAGTCTTCAATTTGGTTCATGAATGTCTACGTTGAAATTGCGATCCATATCTCTTCAATAGCCAGCGTATTCTATCGGCCTTAAGATACAATTTTGGTAAGACTTCCTCGGCTAGAGGGGAAGAGGGAGCAATATTTCTTTAAATATGTGTACTGACATCTTACCATGCTTCCTCCACAAATGCAGCTCAGCCAGGAGCTCTGTTTTTTCTGCTAGGGCAAATCCCATGTCTTCAACCAAGGTCTCCATTCGATCAAAACATGTATCGTATTTCACTTCCGTCCATGACGCATAGTCGCAATGGGCCCACTCATTTCGTACTTCAGATCTCACAAGTTCAGCTGACGGCGCTGCAGAGCTGAATGGTGGAGCATAGCAGAGAACAGCCAAAGCCGCTGAGGCATCAAAAGAGGAATCAAATGCATTGAAATGTGCCATGAAAGGTTTCATGAACAACTTAGCCAATGACACTTCATCCTTTACACAATAGTCAAAGCGATGTCTGCCTCGACCCGGGGCTGCGTTATTGTTAATACTTTCGTAGTTCAGCTTCAGGGTGGTCAGTGGAAAGGTCTTCACGTGAGTCGAATAGGTTTGCTTGTCTAATCCATAAGTTGCTAACAGATTCTGGTAAAATGGCGTCATTTCCTGTTGAATCTTGTTTCTGAGATACGGCATAAGAACTCTGTTGAGAACAGTGCCAACCACCAACCACCGTCGATGTTCTGTGTCTGTCTCGGGCGACAAAGCCATGCCTTGTTTTTTGCCTTCTAAGTCACAAGTTTACTTAACACCTAGAGGGAAGATAGCTTTAATTGACATAAGGATAAAAACAGCGGTAGCTCATAACAGAAGCCTATTTGGTGTCTGTAGAAACGAAGATTGTCTGTGTTATATGAGGTTTTAAATAGTTTATAACAAGCCTTATGACTATATTCGTTAAATTTTTAACTCTCTGTTTCGCCTTCTTTACTATGTTTTCCACACTTAAATAATCGAACACATCCATACTTCAAAACTCCTCGATGTTTTTAAATCCACAATTATAGAATTTCCACAATCACACTTTTCTTACGTACTTCCAAACTTCTACATTACTTTACATGAAAGCTTCTTTCTTTCTAATCCATGTTCTGTTTTGTCTTCGATTGTATTATTTAAAGTTTTTATCTCGTCAACACTTTCATACGTCCAAAGTATTGAATTCTCACCGCTTTTGGCAACTTTTCAAATCTCTCTTCAGCTCCTCCACCCTTCTGATTTAGAACTTAAATTTTTCTTTATCATCATTTAAAAACTTCAAAACGTCAAGATCACACTCGCACATATGCGTGTCTCAACTTCCTCACTTCTGTTTAACCCTCCTTACTTCTCCACTTTACATTTCTACAACTCTCCTCAAGTTCTTAAGTTTCATCGTTCCGCGCGTCCACTCCACTAAATTTTAAGATACTAGTTTGGCCCTACAATTTTTTCATTCCATTTTGATTAGCTGTTACGAGAAACAGTCTTCCAAGAGTGAGAATATCGATTAAAATGATTCGATTCTGTTTAGCACAGGCTTGCATAGCTTTAGTTCGCCGGGTGGAACTTCAAACACAATTTTCGCGCTGTGAAACTCTAGTTAGAAGTCACGAGAACTCTGAACGGTGAGTGACATGAAACACGTTTTAGCCTATCACATCACCAGAACATGATCAAGATATGAACTAGTTAACTATTACAAATTGAATTATGCATTTAAGAAGTTGATTGAAACCTATCTCATTTAGAACTTAGATTTTTCTTTTTCATCATTTAAAAACTTCAAAACGTCGAGATCACACTCGCACTTACACGTGTCTGAACTTCCTCTCTTCGATTTACTCCTTCATACTTCTCTTCTTCACATTTCCACAACTCTCCTCAAGTTCCTAAGTTTCATAATTCTACGCTTGCACTACATTAAAAGTGTGTCCACGAGAGCACCAGGCAGTCGTGCTACATGTCATCACACCGATTTCAATAAAAATCTGCCAGTTTAAAGGGTCTACTCCAAAACTGAAAAAGACAAACTGGTTTCTGTTTTGGTTATTTCCGGGAAGAGGTAGACCACCCACTCCCCGGTTTTTCTTGGTTCTCACCAAGGAAATCGCTTCAAAATAGGTAAAATGTAAGAAACTCTCACTGCTACGGTATTTAACCAATTACTCTGAGGATTTTCATACATATTAGTACATCCTTAGTGGACATTCGACGCAAGTATCAATTAGTTTGATTGACGGCTTGTCATCAGCAGAGGCAAATAAACGACTGCGTTTTGAGACTTCGATTCATCCAAATATTTGACAACTTTGAGGTCAAATATCTCCTCTTGCCAGAAAGCTACAACACTAATTTTAATTCCCCTTTACAATCCATTATTTTATCTCTGAAAACCATCAAAAAAAGCTTTGGGAACTACCGTATTTTTGTCTTGGATGCCTTTTAAAATCTGTGACTGTGACAAGCTTCTCTCGCCTACACCTGTCACGCAATTCTGGCTCTAGGTGGTCAATTGACCAAATAAACCTACACTTTATAACTCTTTTATACAAGATGATTGATCAAGAAAGCTAAAAAATGTGAAAAACGTTCGAGGTTTCATGTAGGAACTTTCACGTTTAGAGAGATGCATGTGGGCGAAAAATTGATGGGAAAATCGTAGCGTTTCTCTCTTCTGTCGTTTATTACCTTATAGATTTGCTAAAATCAGCAAATAGGGCTTTTCTACGGCACAAAACACTCATTAGTCTATAATTTGATCGTTTATCGTCATTATTGCTTATTCTAGGGGATTTTAAAGTCACGCGCTGCGTGTTGGTTGACAATATTATACGCTGTGGCTATATGGCTGGTGACCGGTCAAGGTGTTGAAATCACTAAATGGCCGGCAGTCCTATATTCTCAGTAAATTTTACAAAATCGAAAAATTCCAGTTAATCTAAACAATCATATGTCGATTTAGGAAAGTCACGCGATCTTGAAGTGCTTTATAGATCTCAAGTCTAGTGTTTGGTTTACGCTGGGCTCAGAACTGAGACGAAACCATGTTTTGTGACACTTAGAACTTTTTCAGCTCGACTGCAGGTCAAGATTTTCAAAACACTAAATGGCCGGCAGTCCTATATTCTCAGTAAATTTGACAAAATCGAAAAAAATTCCAGCTAATCTAAACTATCATATGTCGATTTAGAAAAGTCAAGCGATCTTGAAATGCTTTATAGATCTCAAGTCTAGTGTTTGGTTTACGCTGGGCTCAGAAGACGAAACCATGTTTTGTGACACTTAGAACTTTTTTCAGCTAGACAGGCGGTCAAGGTTTTCAAAACAATAAATGGCCGGCAGTCCTATATTCTCAGTAAATTTCACAAAATAGAAAAGTTGTTACACACTTTCTTGTCGACTTCAACACGCACGCGACATATGACTTTCAAATCTCCTCTCTTGTTACAGTTTCCTTATTTTAGGCTGTACGATAATGATAATAAACAATTAAATCATAGACTAATGAATGTTTTGTTCCGTACAAAAGCCATATTTGCTGATTCTAGCAAATCTTCAGAGTAACAAACGACAGAAGAAAGAAACGCTACGATTTTTCGCCTACATGTATCTCTCTAAACGTGAAATTTTTCATTGCTACAAAAAACCTTGAACGTGTTTCACATTTTTTTCAGAGTAATCGGTTTAATACCATAGCAGTGAGAGCTTCGTACATTTTACCTATTTTGAAGCGATTTCCTTGGTGAAAACCAAGAAAAACCGGGGGGAGTGGTCTATCTCCTCCCGGAAATAACCAAAAAAGAAACCAGTTTGTCTTTTTAAGTTTTGAGGTAGACCCTTTAAACTGGCAAAGTTTCATTTAAATCGGTGAGATGCCATGTAGCACGACTGCCTAGTGATCTTGTGAATACACTATTAATACTTCAAGATGCTATTTTGGCCCTACTTTTTTTTCATTCCATTCTGATAAGCTGCTATGAGAAATGAATTTGAAAAGTGTCTCAAAACAGTCTTTAAGAATGAGAATATCGATTAAATTGATTCGATTCTGTTTAGCACAGGCTTTAAAAGCTTTAGTTCGCAGGGTGGAACTTCAAACATAATTTTCACGTTGTGAAACTCTACTTAGAAGTCACGAGAACTCTGAACGGTCGAGTGAGCATGAAACACGTCTTGTCGCATCACTAGAACATGATCAAGATATGAACTAGTTAACTATTGCAAACTGAATTATGTAGTTAAGAAGTTGATTGAAACCCATCTTAAAGAATGTGAGGAGCTTACCGGTACAAAAACTCTTGTTTCGTGTACTAGCATTGCAACTTCCGTTTTCACCAACCCGCGGTTTCAAAGCGGCAAAACTATCAAATACACTAGATAACTTGACCGATTGATCAACGGCGTGGTTACAGACTTATTATTTCTGATAAATTCGACTGATGCTTTGTTATGTAAACGCTAATCGAATAGCCCTTGGGGCGTAAGATATCATGTGAGCAAAAGTGGTGGCCTTTTAAGTCGAGAAAATATGACACTAACGAATACATGCGTAACTTTTCAATTGAGTAACTGTCAATCATATCCAACAGTCATGCCGTGATAAACATTTTCCCGTCTCACTGAATTTATTAAAGTTCAGTGATACTAACGGCGTGATTACAGGCTTATTATTCCTAATAAATTCGGCCTATGCTTTGTTGTGTGAACAAAAATATCGAAGTACCTTATAAGCGGCCCTGAAAATGTGACAAATTAAAATAAAATGAAACGTTAGCAGGGGCGAATATCGATCGGTTCGAATTATCGAGGGTATAAAGGTTCAAATAATCTGGTTGGCTGAACAAGACTCAAGCTGTTAAAAATATCGGACCATCGATAAAGTTCACATTCTTCAATAGTTTACAAACTGAGATAGTTCGGCGGTTGAATTTAACACTTTTGCCTGAAGTATTTTAGTCTCCAATACGGAATCTGAAAGTGAAATGTTCAGTGAAATCCGGCCAAATCGAAGCTCATAAAAAAGCGCGAGTTTTTTTCACAGTACAATTAGTAAACAAACTGCTCAAGGCGTGTGTTTTCCAGGAACATAGCTCGGAATGACAGAGCCGTAAAACTCGGCTGCTGTGACTCATGTGGCCTTGCACTCAAAGCATAGGAAAGGATACCAGAGCAAACTTTAAAACTTCCAGATGTTTTTAAATCCACAATTACAGAATTTCTATCATCACACTTTTCACTTATCTTCCATACTTCCAAACTTCTACATCTTCTATATTACTTTACACGAAAGCTTCTTCCTTTCTAATTCATGTCCTGTTTTGTCTTCGATTGATTTATTTCAAGTTATTATCTCGTCAACTCTTTCATACATCGAATTTCCACCGCTTTTGGCAACTTTTTAAATCTCTCTTCAATTTATCCACCCTTCTAATTAAGACCTTAAATCTTTCTTTATTTCATTAAAACTTCAAGACCACACTCCCACTTATACGTGTCTCAAATTCCTCACTTCTCTTTACTCCTCCATACTTCTCCACTTCACATTTCCACAACTCTCCTCAAGTTCCTAAGGTCGCGTCCAATTCATTAATAATTAAAGGTACAATTTTGGCCCTACATTTTTTCCATTCCATTCTGATGAGCTATTACGAGAGACGAAGCGTAAATTTGAAAGCGTTTTCAAAACAATCTTCAAAGAATGGGTATATCGATTAAAATGATTCGATTCCGTTTAGCACAAGCTTACATGGCTTCAGTTCGCAACTAAAGCCATGCTTCAAACACAATTTACGCGCTGTCTGAAAACTCTTCTTAGAACTCACGAGAACTCTGAACGGTCGAGTGAGCATGAAACTCGTCTTAGCATGAGTTACTTAGTCACATCACCAGAACATGATCAAGATATGAACTAGTTAACTATTACAAACTGAATTATGTATTCAAAAAGATCGACTGAAACCCATCTCAAAGAATGTGAGGAGCTTACCGGTACAAAATTCCTGTTTCGTTTATCAGCACTGCAACTTCCGCTCTTAACAACTCGCGGTTTCAAAGCGGCAAAAATACCAACTACACTGGATGACTAAGCCGATCGATAAACGTGGTTACAGGCTTATTATTCCTAATAAATTCGACTTATGCTTTGTTATGTGAACAATAAATCGAAGTATCCTCTAGACGGCCTCTAAATCGAAAGAAGAGGAAATGTGTCACCGAAGAATAAATGCGTAATTTTTCAATTGAACAATTATCAATCATATCCAACAGTCATGCCGTGGTAAGCAAGGGGGGAGGGGGTGGGGTAGTGATGCTGTTTATAAGAGAAGCAGAGGGAAAAGTAGAGCTCAACGGTGCAAACAAGAGACGGATTGTAGTAACAAGGTTTTGTTAATGATACACGCAAGAAAAACTTGACTGTACTGAGACCTGGTGTGTAATGACGAAAAAAAATAAAAACAAAACAAATTAGAAAGTAAACAAGGGCGAATATCGAGGGTTCGAATTATCGAGGGTAATTTCGCGGAAATACACGGGATATTTCTACTGGTGTGATTTAACTAGAGGATCCATTCAGCGAGGGCTCGAGTCGACGATATTATCTGGCCAGCGAGTTGAAATTCTGATATATATTTAACAAATTTTAGTAACTTTTAAAATCGCTCTTCAGTTTATCCACCCTTATAATTAAGACCTTAAATCTTTCTTTATTTCATCGTTTAAAAACTTTAAAACTTCAAGACCACACTCCCACTCAGATGTGTCTCGAATTCCTCACTTCTCTTTAAAGGTCCATACTTGCACGCGTCCAATTCACTTATAATTAAAGGTACAATTTTGGCCTTACATTTTTTCCATTCCATTCTGATGAGCTGTTACGAGAAATGAAGCGTAAATTTGAAAACGTTTTCAAAACAATCTTCAAAGAATACGCATATCGATTTAAATTATTCGATTCTGTTTAGCACAGGCTTGCATGGCTTTAGTTCGCAACTAAGGCAATGCTTCAAACACAATTTCCGCGCTGTAAAACTCTACTTAGAACTCTCGAGAACTCTGAACGGTCGAGTGAGCATGAAACACGTCTTAGCTTGTCACATCACCCGAACATGATCAAGATATATATATATATATCTCAAAGAATGTGAGGAGCTTACCGGTACAAAACTCCTGTTTCGTGTACCAGCACTGCAACTTCCGTTTTCACCAACCCGCGGTTTCAAAGCGGCAAAACTATCAAATACACTGGATGACTTGACCGATCGATCAAAAGTGTAGCTACAGGCTTATTATTACTGATATATATATATATATATATATATATATATATATATATATATATATATATATAAGTGGGGTGGTCTGCTGTTTATAAGGGAAACAGGGAGGAAATGTAGCTCAATGCAAATGAATGTGACGGGTTTTATTAATGATACAACTAGACTGAGACCTAGGGTATGATCTACAAAACTATGGCATAAAGTGCTCAATGCTGTGGTGGCAGAGCTAAGCCAGCAAGTTGACACGAGTATAAGTTAAAGATAAGGTTGTAACTCAGAAAGTGACAATCTAGCGAATATTCGTAACCATCATATTCGTAACTAGCATTTTCAAACACAATTTTCGCGCGGTAAAACTCTACTTAGAACTCTCGAGAACTCTGAACGGTCGAGTGAGCATGAAACACGTCTTAGCTTGTTACATCACCCGAACATGATCAAGATATGAACTATTTAACTATTACAAACTGAATTATGTCTTCAAAAAGGTTGACTGAAGCCCATCTCAAAGAATTTGAGGAGCTTACCGGTACAAAACTCCTGTTTCGTGTACTAGCACTGTAACTTCCGCTCTCAACAACTTGCGGTTTCAAAGCGGCAAAACTACCAACCACACTGGATGACTAGACCGATCGATGAACGACGTGGTTACAGGCCTATTATTCCTGATAAATTCGACTTATGCTTTGTTGTGTGAACAACAAATCGAAGTATCCTCTAGGCGGCCTCTAAATCGAAAGAAAAGAAAATGTGTCACCGACAAATAAATGCGTAACTTTTCAATTGAGCAACTGTCAATCATATCCCACAGTATATCACAGATGACGTCTGCGCCTCGTGTACCACTTTTTTGTTCTTACCACATTTTGACGTCATCTGTGATCTATTACTGAACAGACCACGGCAACTTGGAATCTATTTGTTAAAAAAAAAAAATATATATATATATATATATATATGGCTTCCCTATTTGTTTTATAATAAAGAATCCGTTAAATTCTCTACGCATTACTTTCAATTTTCAAAACAAACTTTATTTTCAAAACGAATGTCGGTGTCGTCCGCATGTTTTATACTACTATAAAGCACGTTTCAATAAGCCAGTTAGAATCCGTTTAAGTCAATAAGCCGTATCTATTCTCTGTTACTCAGAGTTTCGCGCCTAAGCGCTCGTCAGACAGAACTGACGAGTTCTGACTAGTTCTGAGTGACGAGCGCTTACGCGCCAAACTCTGAGTAACAGAGAATCGATGCGTCCTCTTTGATTCTTTCACTTATATATACTCAGCTCTGCTACCACAGCATTGAGCACTTTATGCCAAGGTAGACTCTACCCCCACATTTGTATATATAGATATATATATATATATGTATCTATCTATGTATATATATATATATATATATATATATATATATATATATATATATATATATATATATATATATATATATCAGTGCAGTGCTGATCACGCGGATCTCACACAGTGCTATATATGGGGCGATATGCCAAAGAGCTATATCTAACTGCTATAACTAACTGTATATATATATATGTATGTATATATATATATATATGTATACATATATATATATATAATTTTTTTTTCTTTTTCGTGGTTGCATAAACATGTTTGCACTGTTTTACGAAAGTCAAAATTTTACGCTTTGTATATGTATATATAAAATATACGTTGTAATCACGCGGAAAAGTGCCATATGTGGGGCGATAAAACACGTGCCGCATACATGTTTGATTGGTTGTGTAAATAAACGAAATCACTTAAAAATGTCAATCAAATTAAGAATAAGTAACGTATGCTACAGTTTCCAACAAAGATAAGTTTTGGTAATTTAACGACAATTTGTCCCACTTGTAAAGGTTTCCTCTTGTTCATTACATAACAAACTCAAACCGGAAGACTGCACGTTTTCCTTCATTTCCTTACGACGACAGTCTCAACCCAAAAACGGTTGGCTTTTGAGGAAAAATAAAATCCGCACTTCCTATCGATTCCTAAGCACACGGCCAGCATCTTTTACTTTCGTCTCGCCCGTTTCCTCTCAGAGTCACGTTACTGCGACCTCACATTTGCACGCAGAAAATATTTCCGGCTGACACCCGGCTGAGAAAGCTCTTCGCATTTTCAACTCGTAAAAACTTTTATTAAATAATGTACTTGTTTTGGTTTTATAATTTCTATAAGAATAATAACTTTGTTTGGTACATATTGTATTTCCCTGTTTCCTTTTCCGTCAAATATTCCTACTAATATTTAGAACACTCGTCCAGCATCTGTTCAAACTTTTCTCGTTTCCAGGTCCTTTAGCCTCTCTTAACAACGAGGCCGGAAGTTACACGCGATCATTATACTGTGTAGGCTCACACGTTGCTGCCTTCCTGGCAATCCTTTTGACGTGTAAGGGTAAGTATTATTTAGCGCAAAAGAAAAACAAACAAACGAACGAACAAAAAAAAAAAAAGCTATATCAAACGGATAGACAAAATTTTGAATATCCAGTTCAGGACAATAATTTGGAAGTCGTAATTTGGTTTTGTCTACATTTTCAAACCGATTGAACTTTCTCGAGGGACGTATTCCTGGTCAACGGTTTCCTTTGCAGTCAAGATGAAACACTAACTAGTACTAGATGCAACCTGTGAGACAGAAAAACACCAAAAACAAAGCAATAAACAACAAAAAACCACAACTCTGCTATGACTTTTCGAGCGATTAATATAAACAGTTTCTCATCGAAAAACGTAACATTTAACATCAATTTAAGATTTTTTGTTTCTTTCGGCGATTCCCCAGCAATCCACTTTCTTCCCTTGTCTTCCAGCCTTTATTTTTCAAACAGCTTCCTTTTGATCCTGACTTTGTTCCGCCATTCTTAACCAGGAAAATCACTGAACAGCGTCACACTTACGAAGCACGATTTTTCCATTTGGCACGAAATCTAAGGCACATCGTAAGGTCATACACCGAAGCCCAATTTGAAGGCCAGCTCCACGGCACTTTGGGGCACAGACTGATGGTAGCACACATACAACTCCTTGGGATGATCCCCTGGAAAAAGGCGCCTAAAGAGCAGAGAGTTGTTCTCATTATTTAACTGCCAAAAAAAACTATCAAAAGAAGATACGAATATAGCACAAGAGGCCTATTTTTCTTTCTCAAACAAGTCATTCAATCAATCGATCCATTAATCAATATTGATAAGCTAGTTAGCAGATCAGATAATTACACAAAAATTAAGAAGACTTGAGGACTTGCAGGCATGACGAACCAAATGCGACAAACAACTTCCTTGGGTCCTTTTGTAATTTGTCCAAGTTTACTGCTAAATATGATGTCTATACTTTAAAACAAGGCGTGCTGAAATGTCAATGAAAGCAATACGTGTTGAAATGTCAATGATTTTACCAGGACGTATCTGTTTACAGAACCTAATCAGTTCTCGTATATGTCAGGTTTGAGAACGTACCCTATCACCCAGTACTTTAGGACAGAAGAAACTTTCTTCTGATCTGTGGAACTCTCTGGAGTCCTGTGAAAGAGTGCACCATGTTCAACCACTCCCTGCATTCCAGAAGACATGAATCGAGTACGGCTGCCATCCTGTTTTAAGCGCTGTAAATAAAACAAATAAACATATCTTAATTCCGTTATCTCTAGACGAATAAACTGATGAGAATTTTTTAGGATCTTTGACCCATTTATAAGAATATAAGGTATTAAAAGGAAAAGCTCTAAGCCTATCACTTCTGTGACTCTATCAATTCAAGGGTTAATTATGAAATTGCTATAATTCTGAGTGTGAAACACTCAGACAAATTCAAGTACCTAGGCACTGGGAACAGGTGTTCATGCAACATTATATCGGGGTCCTGTTCCTTACATTTGATTATCACTAGGGAAGGGAACACTGGTCGTTGAGGTTTATTACACTGTTAGAACTTTAATCAGGAAGGTGATGTTCAACTCACCTGTTTGTAGTAAGGCGAAAACAACCTACGAATGGACAGACATGTTTTGTGAAATGAGTTCACCACCTCAGCGTGTACTGCTCCACTGGGGGAGGGCGTGTCTCCATCGCTTGGACACACCACAATACCTTGGAATGAATCCCAGCTGACGTAATGAAACAGCGTGTTCTCTGTGCCACCGGTTAATCTGATAGAAAAAGATTGACAAATCGGATAGAACAAATGACAAATCTGATATACCAAGATCAGTTGACAAATCGGACTCCCGCTTCGCAATTGTCCGATTTCGTAATCACTTGTATGTGATTAAAGACTGATTGGACTCCACTCAATCCTATTACCATTATTAATACAAATAATTAAAAACATCGAGTAACATTTGAAACATTAGTATTTCTGAGGGGCCTTGAGTTTTTCAGGGGGAGCGGACGTCAATGAAAGATCTTTTATGAAAATAACAAATTTTTGTCATTCTCGAAGATAACGGAAAACGTGCAAATGGACGAGGAAATACAGGTATGATTCTCAACGAAAAGATTTCCACTACAGAGATTAGGAACTTAAATTAATTCTGCACCTGCTTTTAATTATGGAAACTGGTGAAAATTTTCGGCGCAAAGCGTCTATTTTTTTCCTCAGAACGGAGTAGAATAAAATGGGTTGAAAAAGAAGAACTTAACTCGTGACGTTCAGTGAGAGAAGAGACTTGCAACCCTTCTGCCTTTCGGTAATTAAGTTCAATTTCCTTCGAACAATGTTGAAGTACAATCACACGCTTGAATAGATAAAACTCAGCTCTGCTTTGGATGACAAAAGTGTGACGTGTCTCAAAACTGAAAGCCCTCATTAAAGATCCTCTCAACAATTGAAAATAACTCTTATACTTGGAAAGAGACTTTGTCACTATAGTTTGTAACTGTACAGCAAAATTGAGTTTCTGCTTGGAGAGTTCACTTATAAATGGGCATGTACAGATCTCATATGAAGTGTCTCTCTGATTAAGGGTATTCTTGACACTGGTAGATTCACGGTCACGTGGTAGACACTGGGAAATGACCTCACTGAAGTAACGTGCCATCTAAAAGGAGTGTTAATGTGTCTTGTTGTACTAAGCTTTTCAGTCCTAAATCGAAAGTACGTTTATTGCTCCAAGAGCGTCTCAATTCACATCCTTATTCGTATATACATACTTGGCTGTTACTATCTGCGACAAATCAGGTATATTTTCTGGTAAGCTCTTCCTAAACGTTCCCGCTGAATTAAGAGAGAACTGGGACCGGAATGATCTCAGTTTGCCTCTAGTCCCTAAGCTGCCCATGCTTCCGGAGCTGTCCGAACCTTTCCGTCGGAGTGTCGAGGGAACGCTACCACTGTCGGAGGACTCGACTTCATCTGTGAAGCAAATTCGAAAGTATTCATTTAATATTGACGATTATAGACGAGAAAGTGACACCTAATTAAGCACCTGAATCATCGGTATTCAGTTGGATATTGCTTAACACTTTAGGTCGTGAAACAAGGAAACTAATTCAAGAAAAAATTCACTTAATTTATGTACGACAAGTGAAAATGAACGCTATTTTTTTTCTTTTCGGTCTGTCCTGATTTTTCAAACGCTATTTTTTTCTTTTCAGTCTGTCCTGATTTTTTAATTCTTAAAGGAATAATAGAAGAAAGCGCCATCATTTGTACCTCTTTTCTTTCGAGCATGCAGCTAATTTGGTTTAAATATCTACTTGTCACAAATATATTTCCACATGGCCTTGTAACCATTCACCCACGTTCCCAAGGTACCTAACCACCCCTGGGGGACTGGAATAAGAGAAGCCCTGAGAAGGAGGTTGGGTGCTACGAGGCCCCAAATCTCTGTCATCTATTACGCGATAGTACCTTGAAGTCTTAAGTTATCCACGTTGTTGTGCTTCTTCTGAGCAGTAGGTGTGTCTGAGCCACCTGCAGTTGATGAGGTTTTCAATGAACAGGGCGGGTTAATCAGCAGCATATCTGCCGAGGCTAGAGGAGGATTGCTTACGCTTCTCAATCTGTGAAAAAACACGTGCCAATGAAATGTTTTGAGCAAAACTCTATCAACAAAATACAGAGATTTAACCATTTCACAATTTTCAGACAGCCAAGTCGAAGCTCGGACCATTCTTGGCCGTGTACTTACGTCTAATTTTTGTGACATAATGGCCAACCCCTCCCTAATTGCAAGCTAAAACCTCTACGGCTGCGTTCTCACCACGCACCATTCAATACAGAGCCCTTTGTAATGACCCTCTTGTCATGTGCTCAAATTTTGTTAATAAAATACGGTTCGCTTCACTTTCATTCCTCTAAGCCAGCCGTATAAATTTGTTAGCTACACTTGAAGCACTGTCCTCACCATGTCCTCACCTTGATTCACAAACCGAGGGAATGTCCAGGGCTTCTATCTGATGTAGCGCGTTTTTCACTTGATCTACATAATAGGTGTCTGGGGGAGGATGGCCCTCCGCTCTGTAAAAGAAACAACAGTTAAAAAAAAAAAGATTATATGAAGCATGAAGACGCCAAACTGCCTCATATAATTTGTCCAATAAACCATCCGTCTGTCGGTCAACTCATTCATTTATTTCTTCATTTATTTTGATTGATTACCGTGAAATTTAACATTGGCAGACTGAACTATTCTCTATTAGAATACGAGGGTTTAAGAATCTGCAGCCGTAAAAGAGGTATACAATCTCGTTTAATTTATGCGTCAATTCTTGAGCAGAAGCAATTAAGAGTGAGTGGGAGAAAACAGTGGCGTGAACTTAACTGAAAACAATTATGCCAACAAGGTCATGGATTATTTAGTTACATTAATTTCACCCAAGTTTCTTCTCCCACCACTCAAGTGGATTGAAGGCGCTTGAAGTTAATAATGGCAACAAGAAGAGTTAAATTGAGAACTAATTTTCACATGAGCTCCTACCGTCTTGAGATGCCACCCGCCTCAAGCAGAACACACATAAGCCAGTGTTTCTAAAGAAAGAAAACAGAATAATGAAATATTTTTCGTGGAGAGACACGGTTCAAAATGTAGATGTTGCTATTCTCCTGAACCCTTTACACCCTAAAATCAATATGCATAATCTCCATACTGTTCACTATACATTTAATAGGATGATGAAAAGGAGAATTTGTGTAAAAAATTAAGACCTTCTTTAGCTGGTGATCATTTACTTTATTCTCGTGACTTTCATTTTTGAATCAGGGCTGATACTGCGAGTAAAGCAGTGTACTTACACTTCCTCTTACCTTGGCCAACTATCAAAGGAGAAGTTCTCCTCCCCATTCTTCTTGCAGCCTTGCCGCGCGTTTTGGCGGAAATCTCCTCTCTAGTGGCTTTCACCGCTCAAAAATCCCCCAAAAATACCAACTAGCGCTGCACAAGTATCGCACAGGTCATGGGTTCAAATCCCGTTTGGGCCTGAATTTTTTTCAGGTCCTATTTTTTACTACTAGTTCAGTGGTGTTCTTAGCTGCGAGGATCTCTTAAATTCGTGTCTTCACCGCAGTGAAAATATATGAATTTCATATATCTAAAATCATTATAAATGCCAACTAGTTTGGCTTTATTAAGTTAACCCTTTAACTCCCAGAAGTGATTAACATCTAACTTCTCCCTGCAATATCCATACATTATCCAGCAAATAGGTAATGAGAATATTCAAACATATCAAACAGATGTTGTTGTCTTGATCTAACACCAACTTCTTGTAACTAATTTGAAAGGAAATATGTAGTAGCAGGAGGGGCGAATTGACCATTAAATCTTAGGAGTTAAAGGGTTAATCATACAGGTTTTACCGGTAATACACATCAGTTTATGTCTGCGCTTGTTTTTTTTCTTACCATGCCTACGATGAGTAAAAAATATCTTGCAGTTGGTTCATAGTATTCTTCTTCATCTCCCTTTCTGGTTTCAGGTCTCGGTCTTTGTCTTCGCGTCGGAAAAACCTTAAAAACAACACACATATAAGTAAATAGTGTGAGACACGGATGGTGCGTTTTAAAGTGTACCTCCCATTCTGATTAAATGCGAAGCCAGCTCGTCATCGTTAACAATTGGTTCCATCATGATCTCTTGACGTAGACTTGTGTTTGAGATAACGAGCAGTAGGAGACGTTTACATTTAGCCCTTGAAACAGGGTTGCTCTTATTCTTATAAAAAAAGAAATACCACCATAGGAACTGCATGGCATATTTTAGCGGCTTGTAATGAAACTATCCAGGTAATAGCTTCTAAAACATCAACATGTTCAATTGTCAAATGACTATATTAGTTCCCTATGTTGACGGTTTGCAAGTTTGTCTGATATAGGGAAAAATGACAAGTAGTATTAACCCTTCACACCGCCACATTAATACTGTTTCCATATTCTCAATGCTGTTTCCATATTCTCCATACTGTTCCCTATACATTTCCTATGGTACGGAAAAGGAGAATTTTTTTGAAAATCAGGTGTTACGGTGTACTTGAATTGGTAATCACTTCTTTTATTCCCGTCTTGACCTTTTTGTTTTCAATTTAAGGGTAATACTGTAAGTCACGAACTAAAGGGTTAACTTCAGTTCAGTCTACATGAAAGGGGTTTGTTTGCCAACATTTTCTTGGAATTCTTTCTTTTATCATCAAACATTATTCTTTAATCATCCCTGTTGTGGTGGTGGTGGGGGGGGGGGGGGGGAAGGGTGTTGAAACGCCTCTCTTGTGTCTTGTGATATGTGAACACGGGTAAGGTTAAAAAGATTAAACTGAAGCAGTTGAGACACGTTTGAATATTAACATACCTCTCGCCAGATAACTAATTGACCAACTCTCTGTTCTGCACTCATGGCCAGTAAACAATGATATTTACAGTATAATACAATATCTTCTAAATCTTCTCTTTTTAAATGATTGGCTACTAAATATCCCTAAGGAAAAAAGAACATTTTATCAGGAAATTAAAGTCATGACACCTTAAATTGGTGTAGAGAAAGTAACATGTAACACGACATGATTTCACGCGATATTATATATCACATGACTTGATGTGACACGACATTAAATGTACCATTATAACATGAGGTTAAACGATGTTCTGTGACATTTGGTGTACCATGTGATATGACATGATGTCAATAGCGTGTGACTTTAGAAGTAACATAACATCACATTTCACTAGATGTGGTGGGTCAGTGTTTGTATAAATGGACTTGCCAAAGATGAACGTCTTCCCTAACACTATAGAGAGACGTTCTATTAACACCTTCTCTGAAGCCATACCTTATAAAATATACTGGAGCCTAAAATTGTATATAATCTTCTAATCTGAAAAAACTCATCTGCCTAAAAAGGAAAAAAAAAACAGCAACCATGAGAACTTCATGTCAAACTGTTACTCATCATAACGTGATAATCCCAAATGTAATCTGATACATGCAGTTGTGTGCAAAGCAGCAGTCATAAAAACTATATATATGGCATTCACAAAGACTTCATGTCGTTTATATTTTTCATCATGACAAATTAAAGAAATTGTTATTGTGTTATCTTTGTATACTGCTTACTACACATAATACTATCAGGTCAAGACTTACAAATTCTCCATAATCTGCAGCCTCTAAGTCATTTAGACAGCAGTGTACATGAACCTGTGAGGAAATAACTGAATTAAAACAAGGGGAAAAAAACTCCAGTCAGACTGGGTTGTCTCAGTCTTTTAACTAGGGGGTGGCCAAGTTTCTACAGGTAGATCTAATTCATATTAAGTCAACTTAGTATACTTCCTCAAGAAGTGCTTGAGCACCAAAAATTTCAGCTAAAAGGAGGGCACTAAATCAAGGGGGACACTTATTATTCTCCTGTACTGACTTTGCTGTAGTTGAAGCTCTTAAAGGAGTTATAAATAAAGTGGTTTTCCAAGTATAGGGAGGAGGGGAGGGCTCTTCTTTGTGGGATGCTTGTTTGACTTTGTAGCCTTGGGGTGGGCACTTTTTTTTGCAAGAGGGTGCTTATTAGAGTGTGGGCATTTATTCAAGGAAATATTACATCTGTCATTGTTTTTGGTCTCTTTCACATGATGTGTGGCATGAAAAATCCATAAAACACTATGTCTTTGCTTCAAGGAATACACCATTTCTTTTATTTATAAATGTGTAATATAATGAAGGTTCATAGTCTGTGGATTGGGTTTGCCTGAAACATGGAATGTAAATAATGTATACCAGTACTGCAGAAACAGCAGTAGATCCAGGGTAGGAAAGTTTTGTCCTTCCTTGAAGAACATAATTCTACTTTTATCAGTGTAGCTTACATCTTTTTTCTTGCTTTTTGGTAATGAAAAATACTTAATATTTAATAAACCATGTTACATTATAGCTAAAAAAAGTCTCCTCACCTCTGTGGCCAGAGGTAGGTTGAGCCACTGAACACCTGGCAAAAGGTCTGTAAGTCGGTTTACACAATCCTTTTCATTAGCTCCAGAGGGCCTGGTAAGGGCTTTGTCAAATAGAAGAGAAAACAGATGATCTGCACGGACTTTGTTGAATTTGTCACAAAACGCCCTGTAAAGAACAGTCAAGTGAGACATAGATTACAACAATTTTGTATCAATCCCTTAAACCCTAAGAGTGACCAGCATCTAGTTTCTCCTGAGAATAATACTGCTGAATCATTCATTTAAGATCATGAGAATTAAGGAAATGATCACCAAGTAAAGAAGCTCTTGACTGTTAAACAAATTCTCTTTGTCAGCACCTTAAGAAATGTATAGATAACAGTACAGAGAGTGTGCATACTGATGTTAGGGTGTAAAGGGTTAAGATGCTGATTTATTTAACCATTTGCAGCTAAACTTGAGCTGTACAATATTATTTAACCCTTTAACTCCCAAGATCTCATGAGTAATTCTCCTTACTGTCTGCCATATAGTTCTTCTAATGTTGCTTTTGAGAATTTGGTATTGGATCAACTAATAATCCCCTAATTAATATTTTTATTTATTCTCATCACTTGTCTGCTTGATATTGTATTGATATTGTAAGGAGAAATTCTGCCTTGGTCACTAATGGGAGTTAAAGGGTTAACTAGATCTATCTTACTGTACAATATGTAGCAAATAGATCATCTTTGAGCAGCAGATTGGAATGCCCATCAGTTTCTTTATATATGTTAAGTACAAATAAAATGAACACCCCTCAGTATAATTCTGGGCCACAAAAAGCACCACATTTGAGGAATAGTTTTCAGTTATTGTATAAAATGGAAAGTATGTTAATGCTTACTGCAGTCTCTTCTGAGAGAAAATTTTAATGTATATACATATACAATGTACTCAAAACATGTTTTCACCAAACAATCAAAAATATACCAGTAAGACTGACAAATCATCCTAAACAATACCTTTGCATTGATCCAAATGTAAGAGAGAGTATTTGTGTAACATCAGCAACAACCTTCTGCAGTTGAATAAGAGGTATTCTGAGAAAAAAGAGAGAGACTTGAGATTAGGTTAAAGAATACAACAGAAAATACTCTAGTTTTGCCCTTGGTTAAAGATGTACAGAAAACTAACAAAAATCCCCCTGGTCTTATTGGAAAAAATGTGCTGAAATTGTCTATATGTTTTTGGATATTATTACAAAAACTAATAATACTTTAAAAACATACTTTTCTGCTGGCATAGCCATGACTAACACATCTCTGTCCAGTTTAGAATACACAACATGAATCAGCTTCTTGTCCAACACCAGTGTAGAACTAAAAGTAACAGACAACAAGAATGAATTACATTAAATCTTATGAAATGAAGTTTGGAATTTATTATTCATGTTGATATAGACAACAACAGAAAAACCCTTTCAACACACCAAACATGATTCCATTTGAAAATGGAATTTTTTCGCTCATTCTTTCTTTGTAGACATGTATCCAAACTCCTCATCTACCTACAGGTGGAACTACACCATTTACAAGCACTCTTGCACATACTAAATGCAACATAATGCAAATGCAATTTACACAATAATCACTATGATCATAATTATTACAATGCTTCACAAAACAAAATTGCTAAATGTAAGGGGCTCAACAAATATAACTTGAAATTTATGTTTGAACATGTTTTAATAATCAGAACAATCAGCATTCATCATTTAATCAATTAATTTAAGTGATGCAATATACTATACCAGTACTACATGTACATACCTGTTTGCTGTACTGCCTGTCACAGATGACATTAAATCACTCAAAGTCAAGAACATTCCCCTTAGTCCAACTAACTTGGTTGCTGCCTCTGTCTTAGGATACTGGTAAAGTATGTCCTATATTTATTAAACAAGCAAAACAAGTGAGATCAATGAGTTTACTCATCATATTGGGCTTTCTCATGTTTTTCTCAACATTATACCATGTGAAAAAAATTAAGCCAATCAGAAAACAGGAAAGCTATTGTATATTTAACTATATCACCTCAGAGTGCATGGTGTGCTACGATCTACGTTTAATTACATGTATTACCACATTTTTGTGAGCAGTGAGGGACTTTATCATATTTAAATGAATTCATTATATTTTGACCTGTGGATGTTGGTTAATTAACACTTGATCCTCAGAAGTAACCTGGAAAAAAAAGCCTGGAAAACTTAGGCCTTGATACAATTTCTTCAGGCTTCTTGTGAAAAAGTGACAGCAGGATACTCCATGATAAATTGATCAATGCTTTTCTTTTACTGCCCCGGCAAGGTCATTGTGTTCTCCTGTTGGGCTTAAAATAATATAACCTCCATACAATAATGAGTATAAAACAGGCACTTAAGCTCACTATAAGCCTCAGGGAAACCTCATAACTTGTTGAATAACCATACTGCCTCATGATATAGAATTTATGGCCTCTTGCCCATTCTATCCCCTCCTATCTCCCGGCCAATCCAGACTAAGAAAACATGTTATCATACAAGGACATATACACCTACCTTATCAGGTTCACCATCATCTTCACTGGAAGTAATGGTTAAATACAAAGCCACATGAGGGATATTCTTTAGGTTTGGTTTGGATGCAAGAGGTACCTCTCCACTGATTAACTTCACAAGATGGCTGTCACTCTTTGGTGGGGTACTTTGATGAATGACTGGGGATGCTATCTTTGGTTGGATTGCTCTTTGAATGGTAAGAGTGATCTAAAGGGGAAAATTTGTGAAACAATTCTCTAATTGAAAACTTAAGTTGTAAGCAAAGTTCTAAGTATAGGAGAGTTTTACCACAGTGGATTGTACACCTTGAAAGTGAGCTTTGGATTAGTGCAAACCTTCTTCTATATGTACAATCATTGAAAAAAACACTGTTTCCTTCACAACATCCAACTTGCATTTTTTATATTTTTGACAAGTGCAAAAATAAAGTCTACCTGTTACAGTATTACATCAACACAATTATGACTTAAAATCTTAATTTTTTTCCTTTTTCTTTAATCATAATAACCACATTTAAAGATAACACTCAGACATTTGCCATAAAAATTCAGAGCTACACCAGGTAGTTTTGTGGTTCACTTTTTATGTTGGTGCAAAACTGTTTCAAGCTGAGCTGAAGTTTGATTTCCTGTGTCTCTCATTAGCTACAGAATTATGAGTAAACAGAAAAAATGATCAAATTGGTTTGAAAAATTTGAAACACCATGTAGAAGTGGAAAATATGTTATGCCTCACCTCCATTGGCCCAGTAATGGCAGCAAGAATTGTGTGAACATTGCTTGAATTAAGATCTAATTTGTTTAATGACAGTAGCACATCTCCTGCAAACAAATGAATGAAACATTTTGTAAATTGATTACATCTAGGAATGAAAAGGACAAATGCTATGTGCAAAAGTTTTCTCCCTGATCAGTGATGATCATGACATCAAGCCTTACTTCCAGATGATATACAAACTAAGTACACCTGTTCTCTTGTATTCATATGTTCAGAGGGTAGCCGGATAGAGCAACACAGGATGCGTGGGTGTGTGGATATACAAACTAACTGAGCATGTCCACAAATTAGTGATTTATTTATCAAAAGTGTCATCTATCCTTTGAACAATTTGGGTATACTACTTTAAGAGAACATGTTATGCCCAAGTTTGGGAATTAAGAGTGTTGAGCCAGAGAGCTTGTGTAATTACATTGTATCAGTGTTCACTGACTGATCCCCTCAGCCACTCTCAATGATATATGGATACTGTAGTTTCAGACATAAGTGCATTCAAGGTTTTGATTGTCAAACACTTGTGCTGGATGACTGTTGCCATGCATCACTTGCAAACAATACCATACCTATTCTAAGATCTCCGCTTCGCAAAGCTGGTCCATCAGGAACAAACCCTTTGATATAGAGCCTAGATCCTGAGTAACTGTCATTTTGTGCCATCTTGCCAGATTTATCTCTCCCAGGAATAATTCCAAGTAGAGTCTCTAGGTCATTTTTAAGCCCAGAATGGCTTTTTGGAGGGGAAACAATGAGATGGACTTCTCTCTTGAAAAATCTACCAACCACTTTACTACCATCTAAAAGACCATCTACAGTTCCACGAGTTACAGCATTTGAATTTCTATGGTTCTTTTCATTAGGGCTCTTGTCGTCAAATCTGTCTCGCTTCAATCCAGGAATAATTTTCTTCACAGAACTTAAACTCCGAAGCGTCGATTTGCCCTTGTCTTTCTCTCTATCTCCTTGTGTATCGTTCTCTGAAACGTCCAATCGTTCCAGTGCGTCCAACATGTCGTTCGGAGAAGGTTCGTTGAACGGCTCAACGTAAAATACATCACCTTTCTCTTTAATATGACTTGCCCACGGCGGTTCTTCGTACCTGAAATATGCGAATGACCTTAAGTGATGCAGAAGTGAACAACAGCGACCATTACGTGAACCCCAAATCTACATAAATTTCACGCTGATGCCGTGAAACAAGTCAAGAGATCGTTATCGAGAGTTATTAAAGCCTTTCTGTTTGCACACTTAAAATTTTTGACAATTCATTTCTTTGCAAAACATAAAAGTGCAACACAACACAGATTCCTTCACTTAGCAAAATCATACAATTTCAGTTTATGACTAACAAATGGACTCTTGGTCCGATATACTTAGGAATCAGACAATATTAATGATGGGTATTTAAATGATGAAACAAATAATCAACGGTGTGTGCACAAATTATACCAAAATTAGAAATCGACACCGAGATGTGGGTGACCATTCCGAAGCGATCGTGACAACAAACATTACATTGGACTGAGTCGGGAAATAGCTAATCGAAAGATATTCTCTCGTGAAAACATCATTCATTATGAAACCCTAGCAAGGCAGGTGATAAAGTCATTAAATACTTTAAAACATTCTAATTAACGCCACGACAGAGAGCAAACTCACGACATGGCCTAATAGTTTACAATTGAAAGACCAAGTATTTCTAAAATTCACGCTTACAGTGTGCCCGACCAATTGTCCTCGTTTCGTAAACGAACGTTTTGTCTGGAGCAGTGTTCACATTCTTCCTCCGAAGATTCATCTTCGTATCTGCCGTAATCATGGTGACGGCCAACGTACATATTTTACCCACAAGCTCCAAATTCTTTCATGTTATTTCGTTCCATAATAACAAATTGTCCGCCATATTCCAAACGGAAACGTCCGACCGCCTGCCGGGAGAAACCGACAACTATTCCGCTGGCCGAGCGTTTTAATCGGAAAATTAATAAAAGAGTTCGGTTACTTGAGAGAAACTAAAGGCTTCACTTCGAATGAACAACGAACTGACTTGCTGTAAAAAGATAATTCCCTTTGGACGTAGAGAAAGATTGAAATTTTAATGAAAGGAAATAGGGAAATTACATCCTCGTAGTCAAACAAAGAGTACAACTGGCGCTAAACCCTTCATTTTGAAACTAAATCCACATAACCTTTCTGTTCCGGAAACACGATTGTTCACGCAACCGGAAGTGGTCTGAACTGAGGTGAACTTTGCAGACTGAATATATTTTTGTTCTATTTTCGGAAGAATCCAATCAAGTATATTGTCACTGCATATTTATTCACTTCGTTCACTAAGCCATTAAAACGATCGTTGAAGAAGAACGGGTTGTCGACGAAAAGCGCTATGTGCTAGTTACGAAATAGTTTTAAAAGATCTTATTTTCAGTTTTTCAGCTTGCTGAAGAAGTGTTAGGTTTTATGCTCATATTAACATCTTAGCTCCGCCTGTGAACATCGTCATATTGTCAAAATATGATTCTTATCTGATATATATCCGATAGATAGAATTCACTTAATACGGTAGAAGGTAACTGAAGACATTGATTTGAGGTCGATTCTTTTGTATTGCTTGTCTCCCTCCGCCTCAAAAACAACACACTTGTGACAATTTGCAAGAGAAAACACAATAACACGCCCGATCTGGTGAAAGAGGGCTCTAATGTGGAATGATGAACATTCAACTATAAAACAATTCTTGTTTTAAAAGCAAACAAAACGCTATTGAGGAGGTTGTCAAACTTCCGTCGTTTGGGTCTCCACTGTAAATAATGTTATGCAACTCTAATCTTTTAGTCTCGTCGCATGTTTCATCCAAACCCGGAGACGTGTTGTGAAGATGTGGATGGCTGGGTTTGTAAATTGACTTAATCGACTCACTCCTAAAATATGATTCCAAATTCGTGGCTTAAAACTCTTATAACTTCCTTTGTACACTAGTTCTGAGAATTTGGTACTACATCACACCAATACCCATCTGGTGCTTTTGTCTATTCTCATTACCAGATTGCTTAGTTATGTATTGATATTGGAATGAGAAGTTGGGAGTTAATCCCGGCTGGTAGTGATGCCGGTGCTAGAGGCTAAAGGATCAGTTACCTGACTCGTGCTGTTAGTCCCTGTTTGGATCTTTTTCGTTTCCTTCGCCTTCTCTGCGGTGGCCATCTCGACACGGTGGACGGCGAGGATCTTAACGGTTCAGTATGCATCTACTCGGTAGGAATAGTCTGCATCAAAAATACAACAGAAATATCCAGTCAAACAAGCATACTCAACAGAGTATGAGCGCCCCTCCCCTCTCCCTTTCCTTTTCAACTTTCATCCTCTCTGTGCTTAATTCAATCGCTGAAACTGGAGAGCAACTCTTACCGCGAAACTTTGGATCAAACGTCTCCTACAACTTTGAACTCTCAAGGCTTTCATTCTCCTTCTGATCAGAAATCTATCGCTCTTTTAGACTTGACCTTTAAAACATGGTATGTATCTTAAGTAAAGACTGAAGAGGTTTTTGATCACTGTCACCGGATTTTATCAAATCTGTTTTCTTTCCTCTTCACAATATCTTCAAGTAGAATGGCTTTTTTTCAATGGCTACTTGATTCCGTCACTAACAGGGATTTCATATTGTTCATTTTCATTTCGTGTTAATTCATTTATTCTAGATATTATGTGGCACGAGCAAGCTTGATTAGACATCACGTTTCTTGCCATAACATTTGAAATGTTTCGCTGGGATCAAGATTCTAAGCAAAATGGAAATTTTCGAGAGTTCCGTTCAGTAAATGCACTCGCAATCAGTCACTTGAAGGACAAACTATGATTTAAAGCTCTACAATCTAAAGTTTTGTCCTCCAAACAATCACAAAATATGGCATAATTTATGTGCACGTCAAATTTATTCAAAACATGCGAAAGAAAGGCGCTCCAGAACATTGCATTAGTTGTAGACTGCCTCTTGCACAAGCCTGTAAGAAGGGCCTGAAGGGGTAAATAAGAACCGGGATTCGCCTTCAGTAGGCAAATGAACTTTGGGTCACCGGGACTGAAACTGGTCTAAAATTAGGCAAAATATGGGCTGGGAGATGGAATTCACGCCCCAAGTAGTCTGAGTAGTAACAAGTTTCTTGGGCGCTCGATGAGAGCAAAGGCGGCGGAACTGTAACAACGACAAGCATGTTTTCGAGAGGGAGACGGAGAAAACCACTTCCACTACAATCCGAGCATTCTGTCCTAATGCTTAATTAACGCAAAAAAGCGCTCCCAATACCTCTCACCAAGCAGACCTGCTACTTTTCAATGGATCCCTATGTAAGTTTCTCGCTCTGCATTGAGTTCCAAAAACGAAATAGAACAACTCGCAATCGATTCGATCGTCTTTCATTAACCATCAGGTAAGGAGGGTAAATTTCACCCTCAAAGAGCTTCTGCGCTCTTTAAACGACTTTTCTGGCATTATTCACGAATCGATTAGCATTTCGTCAACGGAAGGAACTAGCTTCCAGCATGGGAATGAGGGATATAATATTTCCTTTAAATTCTATCATGCATAAAAACCACCACTGCGTGGTTGTTGTGGTTTCTCTTTCTAGATTGGAAAAAAGGGCATAATGACCCCCACCATCCATTTTCAGAATTCCTGCTGTAAACCCAAATATTTCGATCCATCAGATTTCTTTCTGCTTTATGTCCGGTTATGGAATAGCGCACCCAAAGAATCAGTCTATTGATTCATTGATGCTAGCTCAGCGGTCAGAAAACGACCCTATTGTTCGTTGGTTCAAAGTCTGGAGCTTTTCAGATGTCTTTTTTTTCATCTTCTCGTGTGGTTTTACGCTGCCTGTTTTACCTCAGCTTGCCAAGGGCAGCCTTAAACAATCCACACGCGAGTTACTCGCAAGAGGATTGCAGCGTGAAATACGTCGACACGCGTAATTTTTTTCTACTTGCAAATGCCTCACTTCTCGGCCAAAAAAAAAAAAAGAAATGGCGCAGGTATAGTTTCCTGTTGGTGCACCCTATGAAAATGTCTATAACGAGTTCTTAATGAGCGATTTACGCTATTGCTGCGCGGCGAGGATTTCTGTTCTCGAATTACATTCCGCCAGCATGCGAGTAATTTGTCTTGGAGTTCATCGGATACTCTTGGGTCAAAACAGAACCATTGACTTCAAGAATAATTCGAAACGAGATCATCACGCGACCGATAGAAGGTAACTATCTACCATATCATGGAGGGTATGGCTGAACGTGTTTCTCTGGCCGTAAAACCTACATCGTTGTCCAAAGACATCCTCAGAATAAATGAGTATTCTTTAAAAACACAGGGTCTTCGTTTCTCTTCGACACAAAATTACAACCGTAAATATTAAGATGACGATTTTGTTTAAATTTGAATGATTGAATGTCAAAATTTAGAATCCGAGTCAGTACGATTTAGCGAGTCAGGAAAAGCCGGCTGGCGGAAAAAGCGGAAAACAAATGGTAACGATTAATTAAGGGAGATCTGACTCTTACAATAATACGAACGTTCAAACATATGTAGGTGTTTACTGGTATGAAACAGTTGTTATGTCGATTGTCATCACGTATGGCGCTATGAAAAGCGACAACGTAAATATAACTGACTTTAGGACCTCACAGACTAACACCAACAGAAAGTACCTTTTACGCTGATTACCCACCGATATACTGCCGGGAACTCTTTTGTCGTTCGTATGTAATCGGTCGACTGTTAAATGGCTCCTATACTAAGCTTCGATTGAAGCCTTTAACTTCAAGTGCCGCCCTGAAGATAACATACGATTTACCATGCCTGTGTTTTAACAAGGTGAAGAATCGAACCCTCCACTTGAAGCTGTCATTCTCGTCGTTCGATCGATAAACGCGTTCACGAGATACAGCGTAAATAATGGGAAACTGTAGACTTCTTAAGATACCACAGCACACGTCATTAATTGATCATTTCCGGAGCGAAACTAGGTATTAAATGCTTTTAATTATGGAGGCCATTCAAGAAAAATTCAGGTTTTGGAAGTTGTACGAGACCAATCTTTGTCAAGCCTTACGATTGTTTGTCAAGTAGCATTTGGATTGTTTTGAAGAGACATAGGTCATTGTGATGGTGCGAATTTGCTCAAAGGTGATCTAGGATACTGAAGGTGGCTTTAAAGCGCTTTTTTCTTCTATGATATTTAGTGTGCATTATTAGGTACGCATAGTTCTTGGTTGGGGCCTGCTCAACAGTGGTAAACAAAGACGCTCACCTGGTCTACTTTAACTCTTTTATAGCTTTTGTCACATAATGCTGTGGGAAGGCCGAGATTGCGTGAGAGTGAATGGAGACTTAGTCCTTTCAATCGGAAAAATTTCCTATGAAGTGACAGAAAGGAAATCGTCACGCTTTTTAAGGGCCGGTGCCAGTCCTTTCCTTTGCAGTAAAAAAGTGATTTGGTAGTTACCCAGAAAAATTTTGTTTATCCTTATCGCCTCTACGTCGGAGCTTCTTTGAAAACTCAGCGTAGCCGTTTTACAGGTACCGATATTTTAAAGTCTCCACTGCATGTGATGCCGCATGAGCCATTACAAAAGTGACCTTCGCTATTTCCCCAGTTTGTTGAGTCTGACAAGAAAGCTTTATCGCCAATGAAGATCTGCTGTAAATGCAGAAAATGAACTCAAGCTCTGGCGACAATAAAAGCTTTTTAAGAGGAATTTAATTAACGATAAGAAAAGAGTAAAGAATTCTGTATGTTTTATTTCAAAGCCAACTGCATACAGTACCTATAACTTTATTAAAAGTGACCAAAAGCTTGCAGTCTGCAACTCCTCTCAACCAAGACTCGCTTAAAATGATAGTGTGATCTAAATGTAATTTCACGACGAAAAAATAACGGTCTCAAAACTATGGATTTTTGTAATAATATAATCTCGACGGTATCGCCCGTCTCGCCATTATCATTTAGTTTTCAGACATAACTCCTCCATTCTTCGTATTCAGTTTCATGATTTGCCGGAAGTTATCACAAAGCACACGTAACCACCGTTCGCCTGTCCAAAGTTCTCATTTTCGTAAAGAAAATCGAAAGAGACCTCGACGTTCGAAACGACATTGAGGCCATTTAACAACAACAGTCGCACTAGATTGCCGAGATTGCGTGAGAGTGAATGGAGACTTAGTCCTTTCAATCGGAAAAATTTCCTATGAAGTGACAGAAAGGAAATCGTCACGCTTTTTAAGGGTGCCAGTCCTTTCCTTTGCAGTAAAAAAGTGATTTGGTAGTTACCCAGAAAAAATTTTGTTTATCCTTATCGCCTCTACGTCGGAGCTTCGTGAAGAAAATCGACATTGAGGCCATTTAACAACAACAGTCGCACTTGAATTCCATTCTTAACTCTTACACCCTAACGCTAATGCGCATCAGGTCTCCACATGTTACTAACAAAAACAACAATTCTATTAGTCTGAAGTTTCGATCGTTAATTGGTGATCAATTCCTTTATTCTCACGATATTGATGTTTGATTTAACACTGATATTGCGAGGAGAAGTCAGAAGCTAGTCACTCTTAGGGGCTGAAATTGTGTAACGACCATCTCACTGTAGGTAGGAAAGGTACCACATTTTCCCTAGATTGCTTTCAGGTTTAATGTTAATGTTAAAAAGACCTCTTTCTTCCTGAGCTTCCAAAGTACTGAAGAGAATTTCCAAGGTGGATTCGCTGGCATATAAAAATTCAGTCCCTACTGACGCTGATAGAGCGCTTGTTCCCTTAAAAGTTCCTTTGTTAAAAGATAGATGACCGAGGCCAGTTCTGAAGGTCAATTAGTTACACCCAGTCTAGAGATACCGTTTTTAATCAGCCAACACACGATAAACCGACCGTCTGCAATTTAACAATGGCCTCTTAAAATTTTTAGGCCAAGCAAAAAAATGACAACTATGGCTGTGATATTTGTTATAGCTTGTGCTGCCTCACTGTTTATAAGTTTCCTTTAAGGCTTACCATGGTAACTCCGAGATTCTTTGCAAGCAAAACCAACAGAGCTAATGATTATCATGGACTTCACCTTACTTAACAATTGACAATGGCAATGAGAATACTTTATTCAAGAGAAGGAAAATGAAAAATTGTAAAAGTATCTCTCGAAAGGGGATATTCTAGAGGTTAACCCTATACAAAAGATTCCCCGAATAAAAAAAGACCAAAACATTATATACAGATAGTTAAAAAATTGTTTACCATCATCTCAATCAATGTTCATGTAAATCTTTAGTCTGTTACGAAATAAAGTCAATGATCGTGCGTGTACAATATCTTTAGGCAAATTATTCCACATATTAACGATCGTTAAACAATTTTTCATTATGAACAGTTACACGAGTCTTGCATAAATTTTGGAAGGAATTACAGCCAGCATGTGAAAAATCACTCGATCAAAACTCCAAGGCCTGACGAATAGCTGATCGTCTATCAAATTTAGGTAACAAAAAAAGATACATCTAGTTCAAGTGTAATCACAGGATTATTAGAAGAACCTATGCGCATCTCGTCAGCCTCCGAAGATATTCAACACGGTGAGCCCAAGAACATTATGCTACTGTTGGATCAATCTATTAACTGCTATTTTTTTTGGCAACTTTAAGAAGATTCACCGGGTAGACTTTCGTGAGAATCCACGATCCATCATTTTGTCTTATCAAAATGTTGAGATAGTGTGACGAAAAATCTGCGGTAACTCGCTCACGAAACGGAAAACCTTTTGTTACTGAAATATTTCAAAGCTGAACCTCCGCCCGCTAGAAAGTAATAATGTCGACCTTTTCTTGTCTCAACGTTTTTCCGGACAGGTAAGAACGGTTAACTTAGATTTGTTACCTTACTTCTTTGAAGGGAAATCTTAACTAGAAAATGAAAAATGAGAAGGATGAAATTATTCCATCAGCAAAGACACCCAGGCCATTAAAAGCTTTTAGAAAACTAACAACAATCATTAGCCTTATAATATCGACTCTATCTACCTTTCACACTACAGAATCTCTCAACCACAATACCCTTTAGGAATACGACTTACCATTCACTCCTGAGCGTTCGATATTTGTTATTATCGGACAGAGCAGCTCCGTAATTACCCAAACAGTACATTTAGGTGTAATTGGATTTCCTTTTGGTTTGCAGCAAAACAGTGGGCTAATCTGTTAATCTTAGAATGAGACTGACAAATCTCATACGAAGAGTGTTTTAAGGCGGAGTCTCATCGATTGAATACAACATCTTATTGAATTCGTAAACTGTTTACCTTCGGCATGTGCATGAAGCGATACAAATGAAACACTTCTTCCCTTTTAAAATTTTGAAAATAACTCTGCATATTAATTTGGATTAACGGGAACTTCAAAATCAAAACGAAACATATAACGAAGAAACATTAGCCTGTCAGTTATCTCTAAGAGTAGCTTTCTTTTAAACAAAACGAGTCTTTGTGTGTGAAATAGGTGTTGATTAGCCAAATCAATCCAATTTGATTTTCTCAAAACGTTACATAATGCCCATTAACTACTGCATTGAAAATGAATAAGGGAATCTCAATCACGTTTTAAAGACTCGAATACGATAGAAAATGAAGTGCTTGATAAGTTTAAGAATCATCAGAAAATCATCAAGTAGGGTGGAAGGGGTGTGGGTGTGTGTGTAGGGGGGTGGGGGGCGGGTAATTCCCCTAAATCCTTAGTGACCCCCTTTACCACCTCTTACATCAAAGAGACGAAAATATGAAATTTTTCGAACCTACACTCCCAGACACATTTGCTGGGAAACCTATTGTCCTATTGTCTCCCATGCCCCTCTCAATGCTGCTTTGCAAGATGGCACAGACACATTGGAAGGGGGAATGGGTCTAATGAAAATCATAACGTTGCTCTGGAGACGTGCCCCGACAAATTATGTCTGGGAGACCTAGCAGAGATGTTTTGGCATTCGAATTTCATAACCCAACTAAAAATTTTAGAATCATGGTGGAATGCTATTTCACTCAGAGATCAGAATGACGTTGAATGAAGGAAACCATGAGAACTTTAAAATACAGGTGAAAAAAAAATTACTTGAAAATTTCCTCCACTACACATTAGAGTCACTAAAGAACCTCCATCAGTGCATTAAAAGACGAAGTCACGAGCACCAACTGACCTGAAGGTTTAATTTAGGATTATGCCACCGGGGTAGAACCCTAAACTTCCCAAGTTTGACAGGAGCTGGAGACAATTTCTCCACATTTTGAGGTAGAGGTGTTCACTTTAGTGTCGGTTGCTGATAAGTTTCTTCGCATGCCACGTGGAGCTTGATAGTGTATCACGGTATCTTACAAAAACAAACTTTCACCCAGGCTGATCCCCTGAGCACATATAAAAGCTTTGTTTTTTTCGGAACACTGCTAATGGAAACGTTCAAAGAAAAAAGAAAAATAGAGCAGCAATATTAGAAAAGCAATCTTTCATCCAACCTACCGCTGTGTGTTCCTTGGTCGTATGCTATCTGTCTTGATCACTACGTATTCCGTAAGTTTCACAGAGTACAAGTTCACTTAGGTTTTGTTGATACAGTTCATGTTATTCCATATGGATGTGAAACACTCATTTTGGTACGTGATCTAGATCGCCTAATCCTTGTTAAGTTGACGTACATCTGTGTCATTCATTAGAGTGTTTCCGGCTTTCAGCGATTCTTTCTTAATCTATACCGTGGTATATGTTTCGCAACTATTGATTGCCATTGTGGAATTGTTTCTGCTAATTTATGTCCTACTTTAACACAGTGAACGGAGACAATCGAAATTGAAAAATATCTAACCGAAAAAACTTTAAGCTGAAAAAGGAGGTTTTACTTATTTCGTGATGCCTCCCCACAGCTCCACCCACCAAGAAAAATTAGCCTTCTGTCCTGTCATCACATCAATGTTCGAGATAAATTTTTGCCTTTTTTAATTGGGTTTAGGTAACGCTACGATTCTTGTTTATTAAGAATAAGGCAGATTTCAAATGTTTGGTCGAGTTTCTTAAAAGCCACGAGATCACCTCTTAAAGTCTCATGTCGATGCATAGAGAAAATTAACGAACAAAGTCAAACGATGGCTTAAATGTAAAAATTAAGGCAAACATCACTTTGCCAGCTCTAGTTTAAGCTGGTTTTTGTGGTGACCTTGGGCCAAAAATAGATGGAAAATGAATAAGAGAAGAAATAAATAAACAATTGCCGGTTGCCTAAATTAGAATGTTTTTTTAGATAAGTTTACTCGTAAACTGATAATTCTTTATTTATCATTAACCTTTTTTTGATTTTCTATGTTTAACCAAGTGGGTGATATAATAGTTATCCAACGTTGTTTGTTGTACGTTTAAACTTTATTCTCACCAGTCTATGAAAATATTACTTTCTCTCAGTTTATCTTTAAAAAAAGTACTTCTTGCCAAAATGGCATCACAAGTTCATAGCAAAACTCAAATCAAAATGAAGATTGAGTTATCTACCGAAATCTTTACCGCGGTCAACCAGTTCAGCGCGAGATAGAATCGAAAAGAGAATTTAAACCTTACAGATTTGCAGTGGGAAACGGAGATCAACCGGTAACAAATGGGTGTTACGTAAGCATCGAAAGGGTTATGTCTCTGCAGAGTGTTCATGGTAACGAAAGGTGATTTGACTGGTGCGGTTTTTAACTGAGAGTCGAGAAAAATCCAGTTTAAATTGCTGTTCCCTCGTTACGTTCTCTTCTTGATAATAAGGAGTTTAATATCACTAAACAAAAGGTTTAATGAGCAGAACAATGGCTGTGCACGTGCGTTAGAAATCTTTGTAAATTTCTTTGCGTCCTCTGCAAAACAATAACGTGAAATGACCAAACTTTGCGTTGTCTGGAGAACTTGAACAACGATGGAGATTGCTAGTTTTTTAAATTTGTACTTCTGATTTTAACGCTGTGTTCCATATTCAGTTTTTAGATAATTTTGACAGCGAGAAACAAACTAAATGACTTTAGAGTATAGCGAGATTCGTTGGAAAAATATAAGTTTATCTTTTAACCGAAGTTGTCCATGGCGTTGCTGTCTTCCTTTTATTTAACTCCCGAGTGGTGATAGGAATTACAAGGAGTCCAATTGGGTCTGTAATCATACAAGTGATTAACAAAGTCGGACGGCCGCGATACGGGAGTCCGATTTGTTAATCACGCGTATGATTACAGACAGAATTAGACCACACGAAGTCCTGTTACCAATTAATCAAATTATGACAAATTTGAGAAAGAAACCAGACATCAGTTGTAACGTTTCACCGAACTGCGAGACAACAGCGCGCGCACTTAACGCGTTCTGTCCACTTGCACAGGCGTGACGTGTTAACTGTCCCCTTAACTGTCATATTACTCTGACGCCTACACTGTCCTATTAGTGCTCAAATCAAGCTGGTGGTAGCCAATCACGTTTAATATTTTTGTTATAGTTTTGATTGGTGCAGAAATCAAGAGCCACCCTCTCAAAAAAAAAGATTCAAAACTCAAACCACTCCGCGCAGCTTAGTCTCTCGCGGTTAACCGCGGCTTATCCTTGAGCGGTTACCCATGCCTTAGGGGGTTCTGATTGGCTCGCGTGGTCAGTATTTTGGTTTTACTATATACTCAATCGATGGGTACTTTCGTTACGCATAAGGGACGCTTTTTGTTTCATTTACGAGCGTTTGACAGAGAGGAAAAACTGATCTCCTTGTGTTCATGGTTCCGATTTTGCTTCGGAAGATAGATGGGCTGTGCCATGTACTGTAGTTTCATGTACAGCAAGTGTACTACGCGTTGTTAGGAAAAGCATCCCGTGTGAACAAAGAATTGTAAAGATACGTTCAAACGCAGCTGCAACTACCTTAGCTCACTCACTCTTTCATATCAAGATCATGCTTCTAAAACGGAGAGAAGTTTTCCTGTTTTGTTTGTTCATTGTTTTTGTTCTGTCTTTGGTTTTCAGTTTGTTTGTTTCTAACCCTGACAGCCGTGCGCGAAAGAAGCCGAAAAGAGTCTAAAATAATCAGCATTTTGAAACGGGGCATCAAATTTAGGATTAAAAATGTTTTAAGTCTTTGAGTAGTTCAGTAGGTGTGGTCGAGCGAATCACATTCGATAAAATCGTAAAATAATCTTCTCTCTGATGTTTGTAAAGTTATTCAATTGTAAAGGGGGTCTGATACCAGCTTTCGGGCCTCAAAGGGTTTTGAACTTGTTGCTCGCCCTTGATGTCCAGCGGTACCCTAACAACTTAGCTATTTCTTATTGACGACTAAGGTTGGGTGCAGGTCAGTTGTAGTCTTATACCTATGATATCAAATTATGGTCATATTCAAAGACTATTGACTTTGTAGCTCAGTTATTTATAGAATCGCGTGGGTAGCGCTTGGTGACGGGTTAAAATCTTGTCAAATCCTGAAAATTTTGAGGCTTCGCAAGGGCACAAACAGCTAAACGTCATTATGATTCCATATTCATCGATTTCCGCAGTTAAAAGAATTCTCTCATATGCTTTGCTTCATAAGAATTTTCCTTCCCTTCTCGGGGGAAGGGGTGGGGCTGAAGTGGAGAAGAGTGGGGAGGGGAGGAGAGGGGAATGTTGAGACTAAACAACGGCCTCGAGAAAGATTAGTACTTATGTTGACATGGTTGAGGTAACGTTTGTGGGTCGTCTTTCATCAGTGATCATTTGTCCACTGAAAGACTAGCAACCCCCGCTTTAAGGGCGTTATTAGAAGTCAATTAGTGTCACCAACTTAGTGTTTGATTTGAAAAGAACAAGGGAGAAGAATGTTCTCCAAAAGTAATTGCTTCTCACAGCTATTTTAGGAGCCAGTATGGAGTATAATGTTCAAGAGTTCTACAGTCATTGTCAATTGAGTTTTGATAACATATAACTTGATTTAGGCTACGTTTACTCGGTACCGGACGAATTTTCGACCGGACATTCTGCTCACACGGAACCGTGCGAAAGTTTCGTCCTGTTCGGATGAAACTGATAACAGGATGAATTTTTTCAGTGTTTTACCATCTCCTCATGCGTAGAGCGCTTCTTAACCCAGTGCAAAATGGCGTCCAGTGTTTTCGCTGCTTCGACGTCTTCGATTTACAGATAGATGTGCAACGTTTTTAAACCTGATTTTCTGACATTATCAAGACACCAGCACAACGTCGCCTAGGTGCGTAGTAAGCTCGGCATGGCCTTCACATTTGCGAGATAATATTATGCAATAAAGCTGTAGTATTACTGAGCACCTCAACCAATAAACCAACACGTTTCATTTTCATATAAAATTGTAAACATGTTATTTAGCTTGGTTACGACGCATCTATGCAGCCACGCCTTCGCCGTACAGAAATTTCGACGTTAAAGGTGTTCACATCGTGGCGGTCAAATTATTGACTGCACCGACTGAAATTCGGCCAAATTTTGAACGCTTGGACGTCCACGTTTGGCGTGGTTCCATGTGAACGAAACGCCCAAACGCACGAATTTTCCATCAGTGGAAAATTCATCCGGTACCGTGTGAACCTAGCCTTAGTGTCTTAATTATATTTGTTTGTGTAGTCGAGTTTAAGAAAATTCTCAGCTGAGGTCCAAAATGTGATTTTCTTATGTTTTGTCCTATCGGAATGTGTCATCACCTTTATTAGGGGAATATTTTCCTCGTTCTTATTAACCTATGCTTTCATGCATGTTGCTGAAGGTTTTTCTTTTCATCATTGTCATTTAGCCCGAGCGTGAAGAAGTAGATTATGCAAACATTCGAATGAAAACTTGAACCTGCTGTGCAGAAGAAATACAAATCTAATATCTCAATGTAAATATTTCTGAAACTCGTTATTAAACCCGAAATTACCGACACGCGAGCACCCTTGTTTTCTGTCGACAAGTGCTTGTTCAAATTTTTTTTTAGCACGATAAGGTAATCAGTTCAAAGTGTGTTTCCACGAACTCATGCAAGGCGAAACTCCGCTCGAACCATCCCAAGGAGCTCTCGTTTTCTAACATGTATATCAAAAATGAATCACTGTCGGTATATAACGCTAAACAGCTTTGTTTCCGGTTAAAAATACGAGAAATGCTTAAGGTCTTACCGAAGAAGTTATCAGTCAGACTTTACAATCCTTCGGTAATTTTTCGATCCAAATTAAGAACACTAATTTGATGCCTAGTGTACACTAATTCTTGTCCCATTTTCTTGGATTTGAATGAAACAGTGTTGATGAAATGAGCCATAAATGTTCGCTATGTGGCTATAATTAGCCGAGAAAGAAAAACATTAGTCTGCTTTGAAATCGTGGAAGCTCAAGCTGCACAGGGACAAGTAAGAGCGCTGCAAACACTTTGATCTTGAAACTCTTACAAAGCTATCTAAATTTTGATAAGAAAAAATAATTGGACAACTTACCTGCTCGATATTCTGTGTTTGAGAGCACGGATTAATTTTCTTTAATTTTTTTTTTAAACAGATGTTTTGGAATCACGAAGACCCTCAAGCACTATTGTATTTACTTATAGGTCAATAATTGGATTTCCTTATGGTTCTTTAATCTGCTTGCATTTAATCCATGAATAAAT